AGTCTGCGTTTGTCTGACACTCCTTCCGATTGCCATCTGACGCCGCATAATCGTGATAAGATTTATCAATTGCCCGATTCTTTTCGGCTGTCGCACAAATTTACAACATGGATGTTCTCGCTTTAGTTCTTTAGGTGATTAATCAGCAGAATGCAAAGTCTTTTTTCTTTGTAGCAAGCAAATGCGTACCATAGTACATACATGTTGTATGATTCACTCTATATGTAAGTTTGGATTCATGCAACTTGTAATGTATTTCCTGATTTGGCAAGCGGGTGATAAGAAATACATTCTTTTCACCAAGGCATTGTCTTACCCCGCATTATATGCACCCAACCTAGGACAAAGAGAACCTTTTATGTAAGATCATATCGTGTTCTTATCACTTTCTTCTGTTAGAGGGAATACTCTTGCAGAGGTTTTTGTGAGACATTTTCGAACGTATAACTCAATTATCGAACTAAACTGAAAAACTATGCTTATTACCGCTAACTTGTCGGCAGTTTTTTTTCTACTTCAATGAACATCACTGCCAACTAGTTTCTGTATTTAAGTTTTTGAAATAGAAACACGATTTTATGCTCGATTGCTTAATTTTACCCTTCAAATCTAGTTAAAAATGGTCAATTGATCAAAAGTTTCCAACGGAAATGTGGTAACTAAAAAGCTTTTTAACTATTTTTGTATTGTTTTTCAGCAAAATAAAAATTGGATGCATAAAATAATTTTAATAAAATTATTACCAAACTTGGTTTTTACTTAGATTCTTTCTCTCACAAATTGATAAGTATTACGGATTTAGTTCCGCACTTTCTAGTGTCTTTGATAAGGAGCTTTTTCTTAAATTAACTTTTTTAAAATTAACATTTTAAAGAGATTAATAAAGCACCAACAAATGTATGGCTATCCAAATTCTAAACGTGTTTATTAAATCTATTAATTAACGAACACAAATAGTTGTATTATTAATAGTTATAAATTAAATTCGTTTGACTTTTTCTGCATATCCTGTTTAAAATATTTTGGGAAACGGGTGATAAAAAACATACATACATGCCATTCAAAAAGCCCTTGGGAAAGAACCCTTATCAAAATCCATTCGTTACACTATACTATTAATCATCCCCCTCTGGGGGACCACTATAGTTTTTTTTTTTTTTTTTTACGTTTTTAATCAGCTTAAAGCCATACAATATGTAGTTCATTTGAACATGTCAAAAAATCAATAAAATCTATCCAAACATGATAAAAAGTTTTGAAAAAACCTAATATTTTAAGAAAAGTTTAATTTTGATTACCTATATTGTATGACAAAGTAAAAACACTTGTATTAGTTATTAATAATCTTTATTAATTATGTATTTGTTTATCAAAAGAGCAGACTTTTTGTTGTGACTGTCTTCAACATTAGATCTCACCTGACACGGGAAACTCTCGTAGACTTTATACAATTTAAAACGAGCAAAATCGTTACTTGGTACATCAAACTTCATAGTCAACGCATAAAATATGAATGAGCATTAAATTTTGCAGTAAATGTTGCCCATCAATTGCTTAATTGAAAACATAAATAGCTTGCCGCATTTTCTTGGGAAAATACGCGATTTAAATACATCGAATGTAAAATGCAGTAAATGATATTTAAAATATGGAATACCTCGAATGGTTCTAACGCTGGCATCAAAAATACAATAATAAATTTAAACTCTAGCCGTTCGTTGCACATAAATTGGAGGGATTGGGGTTAGAAGGAAAACAATGGACATGCGTAATGGGAGGGGAAGTAGTGGATCGATACTGAATACAACATCAGTAGTATCGTTAGTGTTAGTAGGTAAATACAGTTTGATTTTGTTCTATCGTTAATCTCAATCGGAAGCATTTAGGAGGAGTTTTGACCAACCACCTGCACATAGTTGGCAGGGAAGAGGCCGTATCGGTTCTTGCACAAGCCCCGCCACCAGCCATCATCGATCTTTTCGATATGGGTGATAACGTCGTCCGGATCAAAGGAGATCTCGTCGTCATCAGCAGCCTGGTAGTCGTATAGAGCGATAGCATGTATTCCGGTGTCCTCAAGGTAGTCGGCCAAGTTGTCGGAGTTGGCATAAATGGCCTCCTCGACCGCTGGTGCTGCGGCTGCCTCAGAAGCTGCTCCGTTTGTGGCGGGCAACGGTGAGGCGGCCTTAATCTCAGCCTGGTTTTGGTACAGGGGCTCCTCTTCGGCAACTGGCTCGGGTTCGGCTTGTGGTTGTGGTACCGGCTCAGCTTGGGGTGTTGGCACATGCACCGGTGATTCCGGCTCGCTTCTGGGGGGCGTAGCTACGGTTTCCACCTCAATTTGCGGCACTACATCTGGTGGTGGTGCTACAACCTTGGCCGCCAGCGCAGCCTCCAACACAGCAGCGGGAGCTGGTTCAGAAATAGGTGTTGCTGGGATATCAACAGCTGGGGCGGTTACCGGCTCTGCTTTCACCTCCACTTTAGCAGGCTGCGATTTCGGAATGACGATGGGTTCTTTGCGGACAGGTGGGGTCTCCGAAACTGGCGACTGCATCTGGTTGAACGCACTGATGGCATTGCCGATCCCACCAGCTCGACCCGTCTGAATAGCCGCCCTGCTGCCCTTGGGCGGAGGCGTCTCCGTCGAGGTTCGCGGAGTATTTTCCGCCACGGTTTGCTTGGCGGCTTCCTCGCGGTCGCGCTTGTCCTTGGCTTCTCGCAACCGCTTCTGCTCTTCGGCTCGCTTGCGAGATTCCTCCTCGGAGTTCTTCGCAAGGTTCTCGAACTTGGCACGCAGATTGGAGGGCTTGGCTCCTTCGATTACCGGCTTGACCTTGTGATCCACCTGGCTGGCGTGCTTCTGTGGGGCCTCGATGTGGTCCCAGCCCACGGCGGACTTGTCCTTCCGGTCTTCCTGCACGCCAAATTTGCCACCAAAGCCCTTGGAGTAGTCTTGCGAAAGGAACGGGTGTATAGTGACAATCAGACTCACTGGTTAAGTGGCTTACCTTTCTGGGACTCATGCTTCTCCACTTTTTCTACGTGATCCCAGCCCACGGCGGACTTGTCCACTCGATCCGACTGAACACCAAACTTGCCGCCAAAGCCCGTGGCGTAGTCCTTCTGGGAGGCATGCTTCTCCACCTTCTCGATGTGATCCCAGCCCACAGCGGACTTGTCCACGCGCTCAGACTGCACCCCAAACTTTCCACCAAACCCGTCGCTATAGTCCTTCTGCGAGGCGTGCTTTCCAACCTTGCCCTGGTAGTCGTGGCCCACCGCCGACTTGTCCATGCGGTCTTTTTCCACGCCGAACTTGCCGCCATAGCCGTACCCAGCGTTCTGCTCTTTCAACAGCTGCTTCTTCTTGTCCAAATCAGCCCTCTCCGTCTCCTCCCTGAGCTTGTCCATGCTGAATAATGAATAATGAAACCTGACCTGAAATTCCACCGAAATCGATCAAAGTGCGGATGACTCACTCGATGGCGCCTGCAGTGCGACCGCTGCCGTCGATCGTCTTCGATCCCCAGCGCTGCTCCTGTTCGCTGACATCGTTGACAAAGTCAGGATCCGTTTCCCAGTCATCGTCCGGAGCGGCGCTGGTTTCTTGTATCTGGTGACCGGCCGTTGCCTTCCACATTCTGGATTCTCGCTTATCCTTATCTGCGGCAGATAAACGGGCACAGTTAGAGTGGGAGGGGAAGAGTGAATGGCAGGGCAGGTTCTCTGAGGCGATTCGTGGCCAGATAACGAGAAAAGCCGCCATAGAAGGGAGGGGCCGACGCCGGAACAGTGCGCCTGCTGCAGTTCGGCTATGTACAAATGTATACTCACGTCCTGGTGACCAAATGCAAAAACAACTGCTGAGCTGGTGTCTCGGTTGCCTTCAATTATTTGTTAAAGCGAAGGAAGAGAAAATAAACAATTGATTCATAAAGACACTTAGAGCTGGCAGTTCCACGATTCCTTCGCACAAAATATGTGAAGCACGATATCGATTACGGTTTAAAGAAATCGATAAGTCGTTAGACATCAAGTGGACAGTCCACTTTTCAACTATCGCATTCGAATTCAAAAATGCGCGGGAACTAACAATTTGTATTATTTGGTCGATATTTATTAAGAGCTTTATTTGTTTTTAAGATAATGTATAAAAATAAAACCATTTCTATGTCTTTTTATTAAAAGGAGTTTGAATACTAAGAATATATATTTTATAAGTTTGAAAAGGATTGCGACCCGAGCAATCAATCATCAACCATTAAACTTTTTTTTTTTCAATGTTTCCAGTGTCAAAGTTCTTAGCCCATGTTTCATTGCGAAATGTATTGCTTTATCAGACACATACTTAAATGCAGGTATTTATGAACTTATGATTATTTTCCCCGTGTCGTCACCATCATTAAGCAAATATTTAATTCCCGTACTGCGGTTTCGTCATAGTTTCAACAGCTTCCAATGGTGATTCATGCGAACTGCTCTCGAAAGAAGCTCAGGTGTTAGTTTGAGGCGTAGGAGAGAACTGATTTCGAGGCGGGATCTAGTATATGACCATTGGACATCTGAGACACCCTGCAAAGCAAGTGGCAGCACAGACTAGTTTAATCACCTACACCAAAATCAAAAGAGTCGAAAGGCTACATCCGTATGTGCTCGACTGCGAATATACCCCTTTTTTTATTAAATACAGGTTGAAAATAAAATTAAAAATATTTGCGTTCATAAAAAAAATCCTATTTGTGTTATTAAATTATTCTCTTTTATATTTATTACATATTTATTAATTTATGTTCATATGCATGTATTTGTTTTCTGGTTTTATTAACAAACTTGATCTGCTTGTAACAAGATTTCTAGGACAGATGGACCTGACTAAATCGACTTGCCTGTTGAGATCTTATTTGGAATATTTGTACATATTTATCTGCCTTTGCGGTTGGCACTCACTCATAATACCCACGAACACCGTGTATAAAAAGTTCTCTCTGGCCGGCTTTCTCGCTGAGAGCGCCAATATAAAAGCGAAGCGGCGAGCTTAAATCGGCATAGTATTTATTCACATCGCTTGCTCGCTTCGCCAGACTTGTACGTTGAACAGAAAATATCGTTGGTATTAAATTTTGAGGAATTCGTTAGATAAAAATTGTTTGTTTATTCCGCTGTGCCAAAAGCAGCCAAAGCCAAGTGCAAAGACAAGCAGAAAAGTGAAAAGAAAGTGTGTGCGTAGCAAACAGAGATTTGTCGGGTCCAAGGGCGTCGTTCGACTTGTAGAATTCTGGGCGCGGCGCTAGAAGAATTCTCCAGAATCCAATCTGCATTGGAGCGAGTGAGAAGAATAATCTCTCTATTTACGGCCCCCAATTCGAGTAAAAGAGTCGGAAAAAATACACAAAATCGCCAGCAAAAAATGACATCATCAAAGTGCGCTCTCTTTTGGCTTTTCTCGTTTTCCTCTCCTCCCCCATTCGCAGACGCGTGTGACTTTTGCCTCATCTCCCGCTAACTTGTAGTAAACTTTTTAGTCGTTTCTTTCATCTCCACCTATCTTTTTGGTTCCTCATCCCAAAAGAATTTCTTTTCATCTTTTCCTCTTTCGCCGTCCAATTTAGTATAATTCAATCAACTTCAATTGCTCTCGTAGGGGCTAAGCTACAGTAAATCATGGGAGTAGTGCCCCAGTATTAGTCATTTGTCTCTATAAAACACGTAGTGCTAAGGCCGGGCAATTATACTAGTACACACACTACACCGCCATAGGTGTGTCATCAAGGTTTATGGCCAGGCGCAATTGTAATTGTGGAAAATTAAAACATTTATGAATTCAAATTCAAGGTACAGTCTAACCGAAAGAAGTCACTAAAAGCTTTTGTTTATGAAGTTGTTCGCACATAGTCACGAGTTTTAACCCATTTCGGAGCGCTCTCTTTACTGCCCTCCATGTAGACCCACGTTCAAGTCGTGTTCAGAGCTTCCAATTGACGTCACAAATGCTGTGAATCATTACTTGTAATTTCAAATGTGTCTCACAAGTCATGATCTTGCGAGAGCTATTTATAGAAGAACATCATCGGATACGTCATGGATGGAGTACATACATATGTATCTGTAGTTCAGTTTAGTGGATTTTCCAGTCCCCCAAAAACTTCCAAATTCTGTTTAAGATGGCAAGAAGAATTCTAATTTATGAGTCTATCAAAACACAGATGTCTGGGACGTACACAGAAAATTATTTGAGATATTTCTAAGAGAAATTATTCGAAATACTTAAACTTAACATATTGCTATACCAATTCTAATCAAAAATTTAGGTAAAGTCATCTTTGTTTTAAGACTACCCACAGTTCTTGGACATATTTAGTTAACTTTGTTCTTAAACATTTGTTTCTGTGTAGTTCTATACATATCCAACGCACATAACCGGTTCCAGCTTTGGCCAAAACAATTTTGTTTGTTTATAGCTTGACTGCAGAGGCGTTGGTAGTTGTTTCTTTTCTGTGGCCTGTTTGGAGCGTCGCCACGTCAAGTCTTTTATAATGCCTTTTTTTTCTGCGGCCTTTTGTTGACTTTCTACTTTGGCGGCAGCATAGGAAAGCAAACAAATTTTCTGCTTCGGTTTATGTGAAAACTCTGGAGCGATCAGAAATTTCAATCAATTTATCATAAAGTCATTTGGGCCTATTGATTTTCGAGATTATGTGAGCCTAAAACAAATCCCCACGGAGATAGTGTTCCACTTGACGACTGAAGTGGACGGCAGGCATAGAATGCGGCGGGAGGTAGCAGGCATTTCCCTGAAGCTTTCTCTTGGCCCCAAACGAGCTGTGGGCCCGATGTGTTTCAAACCAGAACGCAATGAGCTCATCCGTTTATAAGGCCACTCCGTTTCGTGTGGGTTTCTCAATGGGTTTGGTCAGGCCTATCACGACACTACTCTCGCACCCTGCAAAGCCATCCGCCATCCAGACAGACCCGGTTCCTGCGAACTGAACTGAAAAGTAACTTTCACTTTCCCCGGGAAGTACGATGAACTTGGCTTGAGCCCAATACGAAACGACAACTAGAAAAACATCTGCTTAAGCAAACTACCGAGGAAAAAATCAATGGGAAGAGAGTGTTTTTAGCCCAGCGCCAGGCTGGCTACGGGGCGTATGCGTTATGGGAGGGTTTTACGACGTTGATGATGTCATCAGGCGGCAGGCAGGGCCCCGGAATAAAGGCCGGGCTCTTAAGCTCTGAGAGTTGTAAAGTTTGACCTTGCCGGGGGTTAATTTTCTATCACGTTTTTGGTTTATTAGCAATCTTTGAGCTATTATTCATTATGATTTTTCCACTTCCTACTTACAGATTTTCCACAACAAACCAACCAAAATGAGTTCCGCTGAGTACTACCCATTCAAGGTGAGTGTTTACAATGGATTGTATTTTAGGAATTAAGAAGAGGAGGTTCTGTGATGAGCGGAAGATTTATCAAAGTCTATAATATGACGTGATTCATTACCCTCGTTAACAATTAGATTGGTTAATTCAAATATTTCCAATGAAATTACTAACCCTGACCGATAAGATTAGATTTAACAGATAGAGAAGGAAATTTGTATTATTTATTGATTGGAAATTGTTTGGAAATTGAATATTGTTGGGACACAAATACACTTACAAGCTAGTTGCTAAGTAATTATCTATAATTGAGCAATTACATTTTCATCAAAGTGTATGTTGAGGTTTAGATAATTGTAGAAAAACAAGACTTGCAAGCGAATTGAGTGAGCTGATAAGAGAGCTTCTATCAAAGGTCTCTCGGATGTGTTTAAAAATAGAATAAAACAAGGAAAATGAATAAAAAAGCGAATTTAGCAAGACAAAGAAAGAAACAAATGTAGAAAATAACAAAACAATTGCAAAAAAATAAAAATACACATAAATTCAAAAAACAAAATTCCACCATGAATCACAAATACGCCCTTTTTGGGATTACGTGCCTTGCACTATAAGAAAACATTGCATATTATTCATGCATTACTCATGCATTTCTTACTTATTTTCTCTTGTATTTATTTATGCGCAGTGCACACCCACCGTCTACCCGGCGGATCCCTTCGATCCCGTCGAGGATGCGGCCATTCTGCGCAAGGCCATGAAGGGCTTCGGCACTGACGAGAAGGCCATCATCGAGATCCTGGCCAGACGCGGCATCGTGCAGCGCCTGGAAATCGCCGAGGCCTTTAAGACCTCCTACGGCAAGGACCTGATCTCGGACCTGAAGTCTGAGCTGGGTGGCAAGTTTGAGGATGTGATCCTGGCGCTGATGACGCCGCTGCCTCAGTTCTATGCCCAGGAGCTGCACGACGCCATCTCTGGACTGGGAACCGATGAGGAGGCCATCATCGAGATCCTCTGCACCCTGTCCAACTACGGCATCAAGACCATTGCCCAGTTCTACGAGCAGAGCTTCGGCAAGTCCCTGGAATCCGACCTGAAGGGCGACACCAGTGGCCACTTCAAGCGCCTGTGCGTGTCTCTGGTGCAGGGCAACCGGGATGAGAACCAGGGCGTGGATGAGGCAGCGGCCATTGCCGACGCCCAGGCCCTGCACGACGCCGGCGAGGGACAGTGGGGCACCGACGAGTCCACCTTCAACTCGATCCTGATCACCCGCTCCTACCAGCAGCTGCGCCAGATCTTCCTCGAGTATGAGAACCTGTCGGGCAACGACATCGAGAAGGCCATCAAGCGGGAGTTCAGCGGCTCGGTGGAGAAGGGCTTCCTTGCCATCGGTGGGTTTACTATATACTTGCATCCAAAAATCCGCTAATTCTTTAATCCTCCTTTAGTCAAGTGCTGCAAGTCTAAGATCGATTACTTCTCGGAGCGCCTGCACGACTCGATGGCCGGCATGGGCACCAAGGACAAGACTCTGATCCGCATCATCGTCAGCCGCTCGGAGATCGATCTGGGTGACATCAAGGAGGCATTCCAGAACAAGTACGGCAAGAGCTTGGAGTCCTGGATCAAGGTAAATACCGATGTCTTCATATATTCTCGTGTGTTCTCTGCTTAATAGTGAATACTGCACCCTGTTAACACTTTGAATTAATCTGCATTTGATTGTCTAACTGCAATAACCTCCATTATTCGTGGATCATCCTGCTGGCTTCTCCTTTCCCCCTGTTGTTATTGTTGTTGAACATTTCCCCAATGCAAAATTCATGCCACACACCCTGTTGCTTTTCCGATTACTTCACTTGTGTGCATATAAGACATTAAAATCTGGCATATTCTATATTTTTAGGGCGATACATCCGGCGATTATAAGCGTGCCCTATTGGCTATTGTTGGATTCTAAAAGAATACATAAAGAGTATCCAAAAAAACAAAAACAAAAAGCTCCAACAATAACTTTAACTTGTCAAATTCGTCTGTTCCACGCCCTAAACTACATATTCTTAGACAAAAAGAATGTACAAATGCAATTCAGATACCGATTAGTTGACGAATGTATAGATTTTATATACTGGAACAGTTTTTAACGCAAGACGAGGCCACGCAGTGCATTTAAAGCCGTTGAATCAGAACCCCAGTCTCGCAACCTGTTGATTATGATTACATTACTACGATACATTACCCTATGCACGCCACATGCACATTATTGTATCTCTATATAGCTGAATAGCTTATGGGTTTCTCTGTTTTTGTTTCTCTCGAGTCTCATTTGCAATATATACATATATATATATATTTTAAACTTAAAAAAACGCAACAAAATAAACAAAAATATGACAAAACGAAAATTTCAAATTGAGTTTCAGTTACAGTTCCTTAGCAGAAGCTGCTGCACTGCTTGTTGCCATGTTACTAACTTAGTTGAGTTAGTCGCCTAACATCACATATTAACCAAAGGGGCGGCGGTGGCTTAATAATTTATAAGAGTTCGTGTGAAAATATTACTTGATTTTTAAAATATATTCAATGTGAATTTGGTCCTTGATGTTAAATTTAAACGATTAAGTTTATCAGTTCTTTAAAGAGTAAAACAAGTGTTTTGGCCTTAGCACTGCTTGCTTTGAGTAACTCTTCGAAATGTAAAATTTGTAACATTTTTACATTCAATAATTAAGTATATTTTTATTATTTATGCTTTAACAAGTAAAATGTTATGGTATGTCTAGCTTTTCATAGATCAATTTTACACGAATATCTATTTACCATCCCCTCCTACTTGGAGTCCATGCTAACTTTCGTGGTGATAATCCAGATCTAAGCCATGTATACAAAGTAAAAAAGCGTTTAATGCCTTACACTTCTGCTCTTTTCACGCTTAATCTTTATCAGGAGGATGCCGAGACCGATATTGGATATGTGCTCGTCACTCTCACGGCTTGGTAGAGCCTGATGCAGCCAGAATACAAATATGTAACCCACTGCTAAAATAGAAAATGCCAAAAGAGAAAAAAAAACGAAACAAAATGTTGCATTTCGTAAAATAACCATAACAAACGCAAAGAACAAATGAAATTATCCATTATATATTGTGATGTGTTCTTATATTCCGATTCGTAATTCCCCGATACCTATGTAGTATTTTCACCGTCTAACGTCCCAGTTGACCTTTTCAACAATGATTATTATTTAACCTTTTTACGTACTTTATTTTGTATACATGTGTGTCTTTTGTAAATTATTCAGCATCGTACTCGAATGTATAGTTTTGCTTATTGTATTAACTAATAAAGTTCGCTTACATTCAACGAAAACAACCATTTCAATGTTCCTTTCAGGACGATCTATCCGGCGACTACAGCTACGTGTTGCAGTGCCTGGCCTCCTACTAAGCGGAAGGAGCACCTTACACCGATTGCCTTGTATTTGTTGTAACGCTAAAAGCAAACTTTTCTGTGGAAAATTCATAGCCTATATTCAATTCATAAATGCATTTCATAAAATCATGAAAACGAATCTTGTCTTTGTGCGCTTGACTAAGGAACCAAGGAAACCGAAACCAGGGGAATGGGAGTTGGAAGTAGGGAAATATTCAAAGTGCGGCCTCTTTTACTTGGCCACGCGGTCCTGGTAGGCTGCCCACAGGCGATCGCGGTAGGTCTGAGCCGTCTGCTCTGGATTTGTGGCCTTCAGGATGCCTCGGCCCACCACGCCGATGTCAGCGCCACGTTCCTTCACCACGTGCTCCGGCGTCTGGTACTGCTGGCCCAACTGGTCCACGGTCTCGTCGATCTTAACGCCCGGGGTCAGCTGCAGCAGACCCGGAAAGGCGAAGGCGTCCGATGACTGGCACACCACACCAGCCACAAAGTCCACATCGGCGCCCTCGGTGGCGATTTTATTGCTGCTCTCCTTGTACTTGGCATCGATTAGGTTGCCGCTGGCCGACATCTCGGCCAGCAAAAAGACGCCGCGCTCCTTTCCGGCTGCTTGCTCGCCAAGGCCGGCTTTCAGACCTTGAAGAATACTGCGTCCAGGCAATGTGTGCGCCGTCACCAGATCCGCCCAGCTGGATATCTTGTACACTCCCTTGCCGTACTGCAACGCCACTGTGTTGCCAATGTCCGCGAACTTGCGATCCTCCATCAGGAGGAAGTTGTGACGCTCGGCCAGAGCCTGCAGGTTCGAGATGAACTCCGCGCTGAAGTCCTCAACGATGTCCACGTGCGTCTTCAGGAGGCAGATGTACGGACCACATTTGTCGGCCACCTCCAGGATTTCATCGGCCCGAGTCAGATCGGCGGCCAGACAGAGGTTCGTCTGTTTGCTGGCCATCAGGTTGAACAGCCTTTTGGCGACCGGGCTCTTGGCCAAGTTGGCGCGGCTTTCGTAGGTCAGTTTCGTGCGCTGCAAGTCGTTGGCTAAAACGGAACAAAAATAGATTATTTAATGGTAACTAAGCACTTGAGTACAGTATCTTATCATCCTTGTTCTTTCTGTTTGTAGTTAAAATGTAAATGTGGCAATTCTTGCAGCCCAGGTTATTTGATATAATATTGTAATAAAGCTAAATCGTATTAATTAAGACTATATCTTTATTACATTCTTTAGTTTAAAGCCAACAGCTTGCAAAGCAGTTTAAATATGCATTTCCGACCCTATAAATCATATACAGATGTATATTCTTGATCAGCATCAACAGGCAAGTCGATCTAGCCATGTCTGATAGATATGTGGTAAAAATATATATTTGTAGAAAGGGTACCATCATTATTTTTTAATTTAATAAAAACTTGCATTGCTATTAAATCAATAGTATTGATTTTGTTAATCTAATAATCTTTATCTATATCTTTCCGATTCTAAAATAATGATTTTATGTCTCAGCTTTACTATCGCTTTAAAATTCGGTTCCCATGCATCCAAAAACCAACTTAGTCTTCCCAAATTTAGCTTTCTTTCTTATTTTTAAGTGTCATTGGTCTTTTTTTGGCTCAAGAACTTGGGTATTTAAACTAATATTCTGACATTTACCTTGCTTTAGAATTCAAGATATAGTAGATTTAGTTGGAAGGCAGGAAAGATTGACGTGTTTGTTTCAGCTTAATAACTTATTGTTGTGTTTTTGTAAATCCACAAAAAGCTTCTTGCTAAAAACCCCACTTTTCTTTGAAATAAATCAAAAGTAGACTAATGACGCCTAAAACTAAAATAACATATTAATTTTAGCTTGCAAGCAAAATAGCCGATACAGAATACTCAAGAACCTTTAAAAATATTAGAAAAAAAGCTTCTTTTGCACATGGAAACGAAAACGAACCGGTTTTTGTACATCAAAATATAAATCATTAGTGATTGCTTATACTGCCTGGAGATTGGCTTGATTGGAGGAGGGGGAAGAGGAGGAGGGTCTAGCCCTCGAGTGGTCTGATAAGCATGGCATAATTGAGTGGAGCACTGGCCCCGAATCACGTGCCGCGTTCCCGCGAACTTGATCTGGTCCGACTCTGAAATCCGGATAGGGTTACCCACCGCTCTTTATTGGCGGCTATATAACCAAAAATTAGGAACTTTATGGCTCAGGCGGCTTGCTCTTGCTCCCCTAATTGAATTTAGTTCGAGGCCGCCCCACGCGCTTCCCGAGTGTCATGTACTAATATTATCTGTCTACCTGGCAATCAGTATATCTGAGGGGGATATGGGGCATACACACCTCCGACAACATCGGGCTTATCGCCGCCCACGAACGTTCCATCGCTGTTGATTTGGACGGCGGCTATGTACTTGGCCACCGCCTCCACGGTGGACTTCTCGATGCGTCCGGCCTCGTGCAGGGTGTTCAGCAGGAAGGAGAGCGTGAAGAGCGAGTGCATTCGTACACCGTGCTTTGCTATGTTGGCCACGCCGCCCTGCTCCCGGTTCACCACGACGACGGTATCAGTCACCACAATGCCCTCGCTCTGGAGGTCGCGCACGGTGTCCAGAATGCTGGAGCCGGAGGTCACCACATCCTCGACAATTAGGCAGGTGTCGCCGGCATTGAAGATGCCCTCAATGAGCTTCTTGGTGCCGTAGGCCTTGGCCTCCTTGCGCCGCACCAGCATGGGCGTGCCCTGCTGCACGGAGACGATGGTGGCCAGGGGCAGAGCCGTATACGGCACTCCGCACACGTGCCGGGCGTTCAGTTCCTTCTCCTTGATGTATTCCACCAGCAGATCGGACACAGTTTGCTACGGGGATTCCACAGGTGGTTAAGGTTGGGTTATGGCGATTCCCTGAGCAGGTGTGTTCACCGTACTCACCATCACATCCGGGTAGCTGACAATCACTCGAAGGTCGAAGTAGACCGGCGAATTGATGCCCACCTTCATCTTAAAGTCGCCGAACTTGAAAGCGTTGATCTCGAACAGCTTCAGGGCCAGGGCCCGCATCTTATCCGAATTCTGGGCAACCATTGTGGCGACGGCGATAGCGACTCTTGGAACGGAATCCAAAACAGCGAGCTGACTTCTCTTTGGTACACGTGCTAGCGCTGCTCCAACCAGAAACACGTCCAATTGGGAGTTATAGTGAGAGCGGAATGCAGTGTGACCGCAGCGAGAGCGCCAAAGGAATACCGCAGACGTTTGAAACTGTTTGTCCCAAAATACCAAAAAGCTTATTCTAAATATGTCAATTTAATTAGGGTCACTTTTTATTCGTTTTTTTTTAAATACTTACCGAAGTTAAAGAATGTTATTTTCTACTTATATCAAGCTTGTATACCCTTAAAGTTTGTAATTGCATCACGGCGTCGATTTTAATATCGATCATAACAAAGACAAAAAATCGGAAAGCTTTTCTGTGTTAAGTTTCGTTAAATTTAAAACCACCAAAATAAGGTCTTGTTTTGAAAAGTCTTTTTTTGTTGTTAATTTTTGACAGTTTTATTGATGTTAAACCCTAATAAAATTATTAAAAATAATTACAAAAAACAAAATACTTTTTGTGAGTTTTTGACAGTTTTGAAAATGTGAAAAGATTAGTAAACTTTTTTTGTATTAATTGTTTCCAGTTGTAACCCCTTTTTAAATTTTTATTAATTAAGGTTTTTCAATTTGTTTACTTTACCAAGAAAAACTAAAATATATGCAATTTTGGGCACTTTAAATATATATTATTTTAAATATTTTTGTTCGACTATCATAACTAAGTTGAAAATGTTATAATTTAAATTCTGCACGCTTTTCTGTGCTAGTTTTTATTGCATTTTCAAATTAGCATGTCAAAACTTTTTTAAATTTATTTTTAACAATTTTAAAATTTTGGTACGTTTTTAACAGCGAACATAGCTAGATCGACTCGGCGTTTGATGCTTATCAGGAATATATGTATATGATTAATAGGGTCCGAAAAGACCCCATCATCAACTTTTGACTAAATTCATGATAGGCAGCAGGGGTACAATGATATAAAAATAGAGTTCAGATGTACCCTTTTTAATATAAAAGCCTAATCAAATTAGTTTTTTGGTTACAGCTCTACAGTGTGGCTAGACTACTCAGACCCTTAAGACATAAAAATATGTTCTTATAAATATTATTTCTAAATTAAATACAGCACTACTACAATCAATTCCACTCTAAGGATAAGCTCCTCCCACAACCCCAGTCAAAGGTTTTAATGGGTGGATTTAAGCAAACTATCAACCACCAATCGCAGCACCACGAAGTTGGCTAACAACCAAGAAGCTAAAGCGCCTGCGTAAGTCAACAAAGTTGTCGCAGCAAGTCGGGGCTTTGAAACAATTCCAGATCCTTTTGGCAGAAGTGTTTCCAAATTTTAGTTTCTTTTCGCTCGCTCCCAACTAAGTCACAGACCTCTGCTCGCAGTCAGAAACTTCATTGTGCAATTATCGGATTAATTGAATCCTTTTTACGCGATGGCCAGTGCCAGTGCTGAATCTGTTGGTGAAGTGCCAGCCAAGCGTCCTCGCCTGTCTGGAAGTTCCAAAGCTCCCAAAATAGTTGAGCCTCAGCTGGCCAAGGTTGTTAATCGTGTGCCCAAATGTGCCCGGTGTCGCAATCACGGGATTATCTCGGAGCTAAGAGGCCACAAGAAACTGTGCACCTACAAGAACTGCAAGTGCGCCAAGTGTGTTTTGATCTTCGAGAGGCAGCGCATCATGGCTGCTCAGGTAATGACTAAAAAGGGGAGAATCTATAGGGTACTGAAATATTTAATTTGTACGTGAATTCAGAAATGTTATAGTATGAATACATGTTACAACTTCTATAAATTAAAATCCTTCTTTCCCGATCCCAAATGACCCAGTGTAAGGATAAAAAAAACATATTTAATATATATTTATATAGTTTTAGTTTTTGTACTTATTTTGTACTTTTATTGGGGAAAAATACAAAATCCAAGGCTTTTAAAGTTCAAATGAGAACTCGAAATCTCCATGACTTGATTTGCTCCGTTTAGCTTATGATAAATTAAATCAATTATCTATTTTTCTGAATTTTAAAACTTATTTCTGAAGTTTCTGTGAATAGCAAGTATCACTCTCTTTATCGAGATAATAACCAATATTTATTCTGCTGATAAGAGATCACGAGATTTTCAATTTGTATATTCCACAGAAATATTACTATGCTGACACTCTTTTGCAATTCAGCCAAAATCTATATTCACCCTAAGATATACACATTCAATATTGAATAAATCGAAGTTACTTAAATCAATAGTCAGCTTCACAACTTAAGTATTTAGCTATCCCATTTATATTGTCTTTAGATTAAGCAAGAGCCATGTTCTAATTTGAAACACAAATATCCGATGGGCAGAGAATCACGGGAAAGTCCCGAAGTCAACACCAACCCCGTCTCCTTGAGCGAACGGAAAACAACCAATGAAACGGAATACGTAGAACAGATTCAAGCAGGACAACCAGTCCGGTTTTCCCTGCCGTTGGTGATGATGATGGAAAGTTGTCAAAGCGGAGGAACAAATCGACCAAAATATCCGCTTACCAAAACTGTTTGCACAAGTGTTGCTCCTTCTCGCATTTCATTAGATCGGAGGGATGAGGAATGGGGTTGGGGATGAGCATGGGGATGGGTCATGTGGGATACCCCAAGGAATTCTTGTGGCCTTTGTTTGCGGAAAAGTCAAACAGAAGCAGACGGAGACGGATTCGTGGATCCGGAGATGTTCACTTGTCGCATATTAATTTCCATTGCGGTCTTTCAGGTCGCCCTGAAGCGCCAGCAGGCCGTGGAGGATGCGATTGCCATGCGGCTGGTGGCCAACAAGACGGGTCGTTCCATTGACGCCCTGCCGCCGGGCAACATCTTCGGCCTAACCGTGACCCAGCCAAGCTCGCCTCGAGCACAAAAGGAGGAGGAACAGGCAGAGAAGCCTTCGACTGAGGAGCAGCAGCAGCGTCCGCTCCAGGAGGAGTACAGCGAACCGCCGGCGGTTGCCCAGGATCTGAGTGCCCCCCGACGGGAGAACGTCTCTCAAACGGCAATCGATATGCTGGCCCAGCTCTTTCCTCAGCGCAAGCGATCTGTCCTGGAACTGGTTCTCAAGCGTTGCGATCTGGACTTGATTCGAGCCATCGAGAATGTCTCGCCAGCGGGAAGGGCCACACCAGTGGATGTTACCACCAACCCACAGCCGAATCAGGATATAACTCAGCCCAATTTGCCGCTCGCCACACCCTCTAGGAGCAGCGCCTTCAGGCCGGTTATTGCGGATCAGGTGAGAGATAGTAGAAAATCGAAGTAGATCCATCCGTGTTTCCGATTCCTGAGCAACAGGTGACAAATTCACCTTTCAGTTCCAGAGCAAATCGATGGTGGAGCTGAAGCCACCGACCTTTGGGAGCAGCCCTTCGGCAGCAGCGGCGGCCATTTGTGCCTACCCCAAGTGGTTCGTGCCGCTCTCTTTCCCGGTCACCATGGGCCACCTATCCAACCTGGCGCCGCGCTGCACCTTACCCAACTGCGCCTGCCTGGACAGCTACCAGTTTCACTAAAAAGAGCTATGCTTTCAAGAACTCCTTATGCATATATTGAAATAAATTTATTTAACCTAACTACAAGCTGAACTATCTTATGAGTAAAGGGCAATCTTCGAGCTTCACTTCAGGGCAGGATCGGCTGCAGCCTCCTCCGCCTCTTCCTCGTCAACTTCGTCGTCCTCATCATCCTCTGATAGATACATACGATCCTCCTCGTCGCTCTGCTGGCCACTCCGGCTCTCGCTCCCTAGACTCAGGACCGGAGCACTGCTACTGGAGCTGGAGGCGGAGGAGGACGCTGCAGCGGCTGCTCCTTGGGCGGATGCACTGCGCTTGCTGAGATTGGCCCGTCGCCATTTAGCCCGCCGGTTTTGGAACCATGTCTTTACCTGGCGGTCTGTAAGCTTAAGTTGAAGCGCCAAATGGCGGCGCTCCTCGGGCGACAGGTACTTGGAACTGGCAAAGCGCCCCTCGAGATTTTTAGTCTGCTGCGAGGTGAAGCGGATCTGGCCACCTTTGCGCTTCACACCGAAGTTGGACATGTAGAAGCTGGCAGCTGGATAGGCATTGCAATAGAGGGCGGCTGCTGCGGTGGCTGGATTTGTGAAGCCTGAAAGGCGTGAGGAAACGGAGAGATTATATTTTGATTTTGACGCGAGGATATTTTGGATATTATAAATCTTTTTTCTTAAGGTAAGTGTACATGATTTTTATATCGGGCGCAAGGTTATTATTACTTAGTGATATTATACGTTAATAAAAGGTGGTAGACTATATATTTTGAATTATGTCCATCGGTTTGTTTTTCCGTCGGCAAAGATAAACTTTATATCTATTTTATATAGTTGATCAAAAATCCATAACACAGCTACATAGAGCCTTGAATTTCGCAAATGACAATTAGATGATTAAATGAAATATATTTTACCTATTTCAAATAAAAAATTTGTAAGATTTCTCTTAATTTTTAAATGTAATCGGTTTATAAACATACCTATATATATAGATTCTTAGTAGCATCTTGAGCCTTGGTTCCAATCTTAGAAAATTTTAAAAAATTGCCTTATTTTACCTTTTTATTTTTACAATTTATCTATTTAATTTTGTCCTTTTTTAATACACATATACCGGGATCTGACCGATGTCGAATAAGTAAGACCCTCGGAAAAACAGAGACTCACCGCGGCCTTTAACTTTAATCGAGAAAGTAGTACCAAGAACCAGTTACTTATTCAACATTAAATTGAAATAAGTATACAATTTATATTGAAAAATCTATAAAGGATTCAGGTTTATTAATAATAGAATAATAAATTACCAAAAGGTTACATCAACTTGATTTATTATGTTTACAATTAAAAACCAACCATGTATCGTGTGATCAACTTTATTGCATTATTTTTTATCGAAAAGAAGATAAGTAATAACAAATAAATTCCCCTTGGAAAATTCGAGTAACAATCAATTTCCTTAAACATCAAATTTAAATTATCATTTCGATATAAAGTGGTGCGCTCATTGAATTGTGATTGGTGGTGGCTTCCGTGGGCCGATTCCCCTATCACCGCCCACCTGCGCTTATCGAAGTAATCGGACACAACAGTAGCAAGTCGTACATGTGTATGGGTGCTCGGGTATATATCAGAATCAGTATCAGTATCGGGAATATGTCAACGCCCACTTGTAAGTCGGAGAAGACCTGGCCAGCCATGGCGAAATTGAGATTCCAGGAGCAATTGAGCGAAATCAATTGTGGCCCGACAAGCAATCCGATTATACATATATATATGTAGTATATATAAAATATGATAAGGCACTGTTACTGTTGACGTAACGGAAATTCGCACTTGTAGAATACTTGAATTACGCTCATTTGGCAAATGCTGAACTAATCTGATATTTCGGGACTCACTTACCTCATATTGGAACCCGTCAGGTATGCTATGATATATTGTCCACTGGCAGAGCTCTTGGAACTCGCCAAATGCCATAAAATAAATAACGCTCGATTGCAGATGCCATAATTTAAATTGTTACAAATAGTCTTATTAACGGTTATTTTTATTAAGTGGCGTACCTGGCGATAAGACCCCCGTCGGGATCCCCTCCAAAAGAATGCTCGCCTCGGCCGAGGTTTACTTTTCAATCGTTGAAAATTGAATTTGTTATTATTATTTTATAATGTGCGTGACCAGAAGGAACCACACAGAGCCGAATCATATCAGGTACTTGTTGGGGCCCCTCTTTTCGGGTCGACAACGGACGAGCTTATCGTAATCAAATGGCAATTGTCGCTATAAGATGATGGACAGCGCCTATTAATCGCCTCTAATAGCATTTGTCGTTCAGATAAGCCGACGCAACTCGGAAATCGGAATCGCAATGGAAATGGAGTGGGCCAATGAACAACAGATATAACTATCTGAATTGTGTTGATCGGCGGTTATACGCAACGTTATCAAGGCTCTACGAGCCGTTGATTGAGGAAAAATTCCATCTAGCTTAATTCGACATGAATCTAATCTAGTTTGCAAATTATAATGAGCAGAAGGGAAAAACAATATGAATTAGGAGAGAGTATTATGATTTTTGAATATATTAAAATTGAACAAAAAATAACCTTTTTATATTCAGCTACCCAATCAATACACATACACAATACAGATATTAAGAACATCTTTAAATTTGATCAGTTTAAGGATTAACCTTCCTAAAGCGATTTTAAAAGGATTTATAAAACAAAATGGATTTAATATCCTTCTTAGAAAGAGCAACTATGGGATTAGTCAACTTTTTAGTTTCCCACAAACCCGTTAATGTATATCCATTGGGTTTCCACAGATCCCCTGCACCTGACCCTAGAAAGCCCCATTAAATGGGGTCCAACTGTCAATCGGTTTCCCATTGATTTCGTATTCCCCCATTTTCCTAGCTCCTGATGGCTCTCACCTCGATTTCAAATATTTGTCATTTTGATAAGACCACCGAAAATATTTCGTGGGTTTTCCGATATGTGGCAGTGACTTTATCAGCATTACGAATTTCCCAGTCCAACATTCTCGGGGGCTAATCTACCGTTACATGTTGCACTGAGAACCAAGCCGAGAATGCAAGTTTGGGAGTGAGTTTTGAAGTGGCATTGGCGCCAACACTTGACTTTGACAAACAAACCTCCAGCTCCGCACACACATTAATCATGTTTATGGCCCATTTCTGTGGGATCCCCATTGTAATATTTGGTGGTTCGGACACTCTGGACTTAGGCTAGTTAAGACTGTATTTAAATGAGGATATTGCCTCAAACGGTTCCCATGTTCGATCAATTTCCATATGTCAGTTTGATGGAAGGGATTATGGTAGCACTATGGTGTGAGGTTCAATGACTTGAGCTGTCACCTAGAGGTACTTTTAAGCTTCTAGTTTGTGATGAAAACTGTCAGACCACTAATAAATATATATATATTTGGTTGTTGTTATAATTTCCAAAAGAAAGTTCCCAAAGTGTCAGTGGGTTCTTACCCCATATATTCTTAAATTTCAGCATTCAGTTTTCCTTATGGAATTAACATATCACCTTTATAGATATGAATGCTTCAGCCTTTATCAGCCTTTCAGAGTCTTTAATTGATAATTGTAGCGCTCATTCATGCATAATACCAGATACGGAGCTTGTGACTCATTTCCGGTCACTTTATGGCCTAAATATGATCTAATTTTCAATGCTAATGAACTAACTATTGGGAAAAAATTGTGTAATTCAAAAAAGAGTTAAAATTTTCCTGAATTAAAAGTGTTCTTAAATCTTTGTTTGTGTTCAATTGACTTCCATAGCTTTGATGAAACCTAAAGGATTTATATTCTATTCTATTCTTATATAACAAAAACTTGTTTCGCTAACATTTGAAAGAAAGCATTTAAGAAATGTGCACTCAAAGCAGGATTGAAATGTTCCTAGAGTCAAGTTAAAATCCATCTTTTTGTCGGAGATCGGAACTCACCTTCGCAATCCATGGCAAAGGGACTGTATTGATCGCAGTATCCTGTGGGTTGGACCGCAGCTGCGGCGGCCACAGCGGCTGCCTGGAAGTGGGGCATGAACAGCGAGGGATTCTTCTGCAGGTTGAGCACCTGCTGGTAGAAGAGCGAGGCGGGATCCGGGTAGATGGGATTGAAGCGCAGCGTGGTGGGCGCCAGCACGGGACTGGAGTCTAGATTCTTGAGGGCATACTGCGCGGCGACCGCCTCGCGTGACAGGTCGTAGATGTTGGTGGCAGATGTTGCAGGAGAGGCGGTAGATGACATTGCCTTGGGCATGGCTACTGCAGCCGGAGGCGGCGGTGCCACTGGGCTTTGAGAGGAGCCACGACGCGATTGGGATCGATGCAAGGTCTCGGCAGGCGGACTCCGAGCGGTTCTTGTCTTCTGCTCCAAGATATTCTCAATGGAGAAGGCAGCCTTGCTCGCCTTGGTGCCGATATCCATGGTGGGCTTCGGCTTCAGTAGATCACCGAATATATATGTCTGCGCTAACGGAGCGATCGAAGCGACTGCGTTGGCCGCAGGCGGTGAACTAATGGCTCCCGCTGAAGAAGTCGAGCCGGCAGAGCCCCAGGGCCCAATAAATTGTACCAAATCTGATTTCACAGAATATAATAGATTGTACCTATAATGTTGTGCTAATGGGTAGATATCAATATTAACAATAATAGAGCGGTATGTAGATATGGCCCGCCCGCCCTCACGCATACTCGGGCGAGAACTGCCGATATTACGGAAGATAATGCCGGGTTACCGGCCATCGATTGATAAGCGAGTGGTGGTTGGTTCGTCGTTATATTGGTGTTGGTGTTGGTATCGGTGGGGTGCTCCGCCGGCTCGATGGTACTCCACTCCACTCCAATTTCCAATTGCAGACAACGACAGCTCGACACCATGAGCCTCGGCCCCTGCGGACACCCAATCGGCGATGCGATTCGATTCGATCCGATCCCGGCCGTATAAATCACAGCCCGCCGGGCGCTTATTGAGCTCTGCCAGCCCACAAGCACCCACCACCCACCTCCTCCCACACGGTGGGTGCGGTGCGTTTGATCGAGTAATTGTTAATCACCCGTTATCGGTATCGTCGTTACCTGGATGTTTCGGGCCTCGGCTCGGAGGGTTTCGTGGCTCGAACTCTGGCTAGTAGCTACTGTTCTGTTGATTGTTGTTGTAAACAAATTAAAATTACCAATCGGGCTCCTTCGGCCACCCCCTGTCTCCTCTTTTTCCGCCCTCTCACCGAGTCCTTCCCCGTCGAAAGATATCGCGCTCTGATTGAGTAATCGAGTTTGCGTTTCGGGAACAATTTATGCGTTTGTATAACTGTTGTTTGGTGAGAGAATTCGGAGCGGTATGGACATATTTCGGGGGTGTCTTATCAGCTGTACATACTCGGGCTCCTCGTAAAGCCTCCCAGATGATGGATTACTTCTGATTTCGGCCTTTGGGACTTTAGTGATAAAAAAAGAGAGCTCATAAATGCCACCGATTGTTGTTATTGTTGCTACTGCTGCCGATTCAACAACTATGTATATACCCGATATAGATACCTCTTCGATATTGTTTTTCGGGTCGTCCCGAAGAAGTTCCAGTATCTCTGAGATACCTTATACCGTTCGGCGGCTAACAATGAAGATCTTCAGTTTTGGCTGGTTGAATCTTTGGGCAAGCATTTCCATATTTTTCTTTCACACGATGAAAGATTATCTAGTGCTATAAGACCTTGTTCTTGGGACAGCCCCTGCTAGGTCTCTATTGTTAGTGTAGTGAAATCACCAAGTGACTCAATTTCATGTGATTTTTGGCCATAAACCTATTCATTTTGATAGGCTTCCCTTAAATCAAACGTGATTTTGCTAGCTAAATATAGAGTTTGCGGGTTTCTACGTCAATCGATAGCCAATTAAGTTTTTATAATACTGCAAAATTATCAATTAGTCAGCCTGAAATTTCATAGAACATTGCCCATAAAAATATGGATGATGTGGAAACCTTTTTATTACAAATAATATTTTCAAAATTGTACGATACTTAATTGTCTTTTTATTAAATTGTCAGTGTGAACCCTAGAAATACGTATACCTTCTCTTGAAAACGATCTAAGGTACAACTTTATAAAGATATCAAAACAACATATAATATCATATTTCTGCGAAGTAAAAAAAAAGAGTTATGCTGAGTAAAACCTTTTGAGAAACGTTCTCTAGACTGTAAAAAATAATCCACAACCCCTTGGCATTAAAAATAGATCATAATATTTCATGGTATAACCCGAACAAAGTCGGCAGTCGGCATTCGGAGATATGGAAATTGTCGTAGAACGCTATACTTCTGAGTGCAAATTGTAATCCCCGGATCTGACACTTCACACCGCTTCATCATGAGCAGACACTTGTTCTCTGCTATCAGACAGTCAGTTGCCTAATCCCCGACCAAATCCCGTCGACCGACAAGATATAACCATTTTGCACCCGGCCTGTGACGGCCATTTTGTGATATATCACAAGGTGAATATTCAAATTTATCGAACACGGCGGCAAGCGGGGACCTTCTCAATGGGCAGGGCAATATTTCACCATTCACCAGCTATTTCGTTCTTTACACGAAATTAGACCAGAATAATGAATGGCAACAGAATATTTTCGAAAGCGAGCATTTTCTTTGTGTTGCGATAAGTAAATGCGGCCAATTCGAGGCGTTGACAAGGCCTGCGCTGCCACAAACTACGTATATGTTCTTCGATAAAGAGGGGCTTAGGGGCGTCAAGTGACGCTAAATTATTAGCAATTATCAGAAGACAAACGGTTTGAAATGACTTCAAAATTGGGCATAAATACTCGACGCACGCATTAATTATAGCAAAGGAAGAGTTTTTCGTGGGACAAGTGTACAGATAACTGATGGTCGGTCGAAGCATTTACCGATACAGTTTTAGGTTAGGATAACTAAGAAAGCCTTAAACAGTTGCGACACCACTGTGCCTGATCTCTAGTCACCAATATGCCTAATCTTTAGCTCTTCTTGCCTGCTCCAGGGTGACCATAAAATGGAGCTCAGATTTCATATAATAATAAGATGTGTAACGCCCATAAATTTGAATGCCCATATCCATGCAAACGTCTTCAATCTCCATGAATCCAGGAATACAATCCTTTTGAACATCCGTTTTTTGATTTATTTTCATTCTTTTATTTATGCAAATGAATAAATATTTCGTATATAGCACTACGTTGGCTGCAAGTAATTAATAAGCAGTTTCATCATTGACCTCTTATTGCATTTGATTCACTTATCTCTCTCTCTCTGTGTTCTTCTCGATCTTCTTTTCATACAGTGTACATCATAATATATATAGGTTTTGTTTAAATTATCTTTAGCTTTCTTTTATAACTATTTATTTATAGGCTTCGCAAGAAGTTTCCATTGTTTCATGCATTTATTTGCATTTTTTGAGAGTTAAGAGTTGCTGTTGAGTATTCGCTTACTTGCTTTGATTTAAATTCCATTTAAAAAGAAAACAATTGCGCAAATGCAAAATATAAATTAATTCAACTACAATTTGACACGTACATATCTAGGCGCATGCACACATTGAGTTTACAGTGTTTTGGATTCGTCTCTCGGTTATTTTTGGTTTGAAAAAGCACTACGCGTTACAAGATCTTCGAGTATTTGTGGTTTGTTGCTGCCATTGTTCTGAACAAGCTGCCTTTAGACGTTACGAAATAAAATAAAGTCCCAGGACTTTTGGTTTGCATTCTTTTTGGTAGCCTTAGTAAGAAAATTCGAGTAGCAAAACGAGTTAAGGGTAAAAGTAGGAGTTAGGAGTTAAGATCAACATCATTCTTTGTATAGATACAAATTGAGTTCAAGTTAGATTTTTCGTAGGTAGTAAGTTAGGATAGGTTAATAACGTTTACATATGGTTACGGTTGCTGGGTGGTCCTAGGCCAAGTTCGCCACATGCGTTGTGTCCATGTGCTGGATGAGGGTGCGCATAAAGGACATCTCCTTGCGCGCATTCTCCAGTATCACCTTGGGATCGTCGGACGTGCAGCGCAGACAGTTTGGCGCAAACACCATGGCCAGGTTGGAGGAGTCCATCTTGGTGCAGCTCACCACCTCGGGATTTGAGAATTGTTGCAGGAAATGTATTAGATACGTTAGAACCTAGAAAACAACATACGTTAGGTCGTCTCTCAGGTGCTGCAAACGTTTTCTTGGCACACTTACTAGCTGATTTATTTCAGGCAACTTATTAACTATTTCTTTGGCTTTGTCGGGATCCTCGGTGTTCACACAATCCTCGTAATAGGCATCTGGTATTAGCGGATCGTATAGCTCGCGATACCACAGCTTAAGCAGACTGGCCGGCGCGTGAGCGTCCACTGTGGAGAAAATATTAAATTTTTGTTTGTTAGTTTATCTTCTAACTACAACCATTTAATATTGAATGTCGCTTACCCAACGTGTTGTTAATGTCAGGAACATCCCACCGATCGAGGCGATTCTTCATGCAATTGACCTCATCCACATCCGCGGAGACACGAAAGATGCCCTCGGTCTGCTTTCCGTTGAGCAGCAGCACCTGCAATGCAAATCAATTTAGATATCAGAACCCGCAAACGTATTCCGAAATGGTGTGGGCCTACATGCTCCGACAGTGTTGTCTGGATCCAAGGCAGCTTGCGGAACGGAAACTTGTCCCTCTGCAGTTCCATGACCTCGTTCAGAGTGTTGCCGAACATGCTGTTCCTCAGGATTTGTTGCTGCAAACACACATTTTTAGACTTTTCTGAAGGCTCCTCTGGCAGATTAACTTACCCGCGCCTGCTCCACCTCATCGACCGTTGGCTTCTTGGCTAGACGTCGTCCGCTGCTGCCTATGCGGTCCAAGCGCCGACAACACACTGTGGCATAGTGCGATATCTGCACATGGATGGGCCACTTGTTCACTTCCATGAAACTGGGGCCGAAGGAGGGATCGCGATGCCTGTTGACGTAGCTGTCAATTGAAGTAGAGACTTTGGTTATGTGGTCTTCTTAGGCTTTAGGATCCGTCCCGATACTCACTTGAGCAGCGTGGGCTGAAACGTGGGCGAGGGCGGTACGAAGGAGAGACAGATGGCCATCAGCTCCCAGCCGCGGATGAGCGACTCTCGCTTGGGATTCTCCGTCGTCTGCCGGCACAGCTGAACATAGAGCTCGTCCCTTAATCTGCACAAGAATACTCTCAATTAATCCGAGCAAGCTTTATACTTTAAAAATTGAACTCACTGCTGCTGGGGCAACGATGCACTGATGATTTCTATGGCCACCGAATTGAGGGTCATGCCCATGCGCGCCTTGCGATCCGCCATGTAGATCTGCACCAGCTTGAACAGCTCTATGGCTGTCTTTTTGTCCGCCTTGTCGCGGGACAACGCCAACATGGGCCGACTGATGGCCTCCGCCGTCCAGCTGAGCATGTCCCTCACGGATGCCTTCTTCCGGAATATCCCCTTGGAGTGCAGATTCAGATTGTCGGCGGCAAACTTCTCGATATCACATTCCTTCATGCAAGCCAGAGTGGCACCGCCCATGCCCATGCCACCTCCCATGCCCGGAGCCCGTTCGCTAGGTGGAAAGATCTGCTGGATGGTGGGCTTCAGGGAGGGCGGAGCCATCTTGTGGCCGGCTCGCGACAGACTGGCTGGCGCAGCCTGCTGTTGACCGGCAACGAGACTGTGCCCGTGGCCAACATCCTCTTTGGGTGTTCCAGCTGCCCCCGATCCCTGTGCAGGTCCGTGGTGACCGGCGCCAGCCAGTCGAGAGATCTGCCGATTGGGTGAGGGAAGGGTCTGAGACTGCTTTTGCTTGGCGTCGCTCGGCTCCAGGTGTAATTGCTGCTGATGCTGGTGCGGCAAGGCCGGCGGTGGAACGTGATGACCATGGCCGTGCCCCGAATACGGCGGTGTATTCGAGTAAAGCTGCTGCTGGCCATGGTAGCCTCCGCCGCCGGATACGGTGTCGTAGTATGAGATCTGGTAACGGGGTTTTGGCTTGGGAACGGAAGCGGTTGTGGCCGAAGGTTCCGCCGTCACATTGCCGCCAATACCCTCCAGCACAGCCTCCACATTGTCGGAGCTAGCAGAGAGAGGGGTGGGGATGAGCACAGATTCATTAATCCATGTAATTTATATACTCACATATCCTCCCTTCCGGCGGGATCGTGCGGCGGATACATGTACGCGTAGTAGGAGACGCTGTCGCCCATGTTGGCGTAGTCGTCAATCATGCCGTAGTTGTGCTCCAGGTAGCCACCATGCGTGTCAGATCCCCCGTCAGAGTCCTCGTTGTCCGGCTCGTGGCCAGAGAGCGAGTGCTCCTCCGACTGGCTATCCGAGTGATAGGAGTCCGAGTCGCCGCCATCGCCTCCGCGGTACTCGTAGCGTCCAGACAGCTTCGCCTGCTCCATGATGTAGTGCTTGAGGGGCAGCAGGTGGGGCATATCCTGGTCCCAGTTCGTATACAGGGGCGAGATGTTTCCATTGTCGTACTCCACATCGCTGTTGTCCGCCTGCTGTAGATACTGCTGATGCTGCTTGGAGCGTCGCTTCTCACCGCCCCCGCCTCCTCCCACATGGTAGCCACGCTTATCTAGACTCGAACTGGCACTGTGCCGCAACGAACTCTGGCCGGGATAGTGTTGCGTCTGCGAGCGATTTGCCGTCGAGTTGTTGGACTTCTGACGCTGGCGGGCCGAGTCGTTGGAGCCGCGCGAAGAGTGCGTTCCCAGCAGACCCAGAGTTTCGGGACCACCGCCCGGCGAGATGGGGCCGCCCGTCGACTTGCCCAGCGAAATCCGTTCCAAGCTCAGCAGATCCAAGCTGTGGCTCGGTTCCTGCAGGCGCGGCGAGTGCTGCAGCTGAAGCTGGGGCAACGCACTGCTGGTGGCGCTCGTCTTCGCCTGCCGCGAGCTCTTCGTCTGTGGACTGATCGGACTCTGGGGACTCGAGTCGCTGGAGTGCTTCTTGTGGCTGTGGCTACTGCCACTGCCGGCCGTGCTGTTGGCCGTGTTGCTGCCACTTGCGCCGCCGCCGGCTGGTCCTCCCCCGCTCTTCGTGGCATTGGTGGTGTGGCGACGGCGCGAGAGCGGCGTGTTCTCCACCGACTTGAAATACTTCTCGTGCATGGAGTCATCGCTAGCTGCCCCACCGTTTGCCGCCTCCGCACTGCTCTTGCGGTAGGACTTGCTGTGGTGACCGGCGGCAGCGGGATTGATGGAGGAGGACATGAAGCTGCCAGATCGGGCCAGTGACACCTTGTACTCGCGATCTGCAAGGAAAACATATGTAAATTGTGAATTTCTTCTTTCCATTGGCTTGTGCTCACCTCCAGGATAGGATTTCCCCACTGGTGCCCCTCCGCCTCCTCCTGCAGCACTGCGTTGTGCGTTGTTTCTCTGCTGATGCTGTTGCTGTGCGTAGTTGTATTGTGGAGCGGGCGCCGCATCCGGCGACATTTTCTTCTTTTGCGACTGCGGCGTGTGAATGGAGTGCGTAGGCGAGGCGATGTCCGACGACTTGGAGGAGTAACCCTGCAGGTGGTGGTTTGGCAGCAGCTGGTGATCGAAATACTTGTCCCCATAGCCACTGCCACCGGCGTAGGATGAGGATGTGGAGGTGCTGCCATGCGGTAAATTATGCGAGCTGCTGCTCTCTTGCAACATCTCAAAACTGGAGGCAATCAATCCGTAACCCAAAGCGGAAGCAGAAGCGGAGATTTGAATGAAGGGAATAAAAGCGATGAAGTGATGAGACCCAAAACCCATAGTCCTACTTACGCTCCGTTGTCCTTGCCACCGCCTCGCTGATGCTTCTGCAGGGAGCCCAGGCGAAGGTTATCCGCATGTCCCGGCCCCGTACCGCCGCCGTCATTGAAGCGCCTGTAGCCATGCGCACTGGACAGACTCGAGTCGCTGGACTTGCCCGACTCCTTGTAGTGATTGCAGGAGTCTGTCGAGGGGGGGAAATCGATGTCAGGAATGAGTCATCCAGTTGGAAAAGAGATTTAGCACGGCGGCACTCACCTTGCGAACGCCTGGAGGCGTAGGCCTGAGGATGTGGCTGCTGCTGCTGCTGCTGCATGTCGATGGAGCGCGATGAGTCACCCGTGCCGACGCTGCAAAAGATGGCCCGAATGGAATGTAAACAAATGCGAGCAGTAAACACAAGTGGGAGCCATCCCTCAACTCAACCCACCGAAAGCTTTGACGGCCACGCGGACTAGAGATCACTTCGCTGGTCAGCTTCTCCTCCGAGCTGGCCACCGTCCCATTGCCACCGCTAATCCGTTGCTGTTGGCCACGCCCCTTCTTGTTCGGTCCTGACATGGGCGAAGGTTGCTGCTGCTGGGGCGGTTGTGGCGACTGTTGCTGCTGCACCTGCTGCTGAGGTTGAGATTGTGGCTGGTGCTTCTGGGGCGTGGTCTGCTCGCGACGATCGCTGGGATCGGTGTTCTGCTTGAGCGTCTGCAGCTTGGCCAGCGGAATAATGTCGCACTTGCTCGGCCGGTGCCACACGGTCTTCTGCGTGGCCGCATTGTAGTAGTAGAACCGCTGGGTATTCGTATCAAACAGTTCCCACCACTGCGATGAGTCGGTCCGCTTAATTGGCACATCCTGTAAAGCGAGAACGGAACGGGAATGAGATGAGAACGAGGAATGCGACCGGGAACAAAAAACGGAACGCGGAACGCGTGGCAAAATTAGGTTGTGCATATCTCTGTCACCAGATCGTAGAGAGTTCTCCCCATGTGGGTGTGAGATGGTGTCGGTGTGGTTCGGATCCGTGTGGAAATGCAAATCGGACAGGGAAAGGAAAATGGGGGAGCAGAGCACGTGGGCCGTGAGCGATCAACGCGCGTTTATTAGATAAACACTCATGAATACAAAATTTGATGACTCTAAGTGAAGTTTAAGCTGATCGATGGATACTTCCTATCCGGATATTCTTTCCCCTTTTTATGGTAATCACCAAAAATCTCTGAAAAGGCAGGTGATCTTCGTATCTTTTTTTAATCTTATTGTCACCTTTGCTCTTTCTGAATCTTTCCTAGTTTTCCTTTGAGAAACTCATCAATAAAACTTTTGCTGACTTCTATCAAAGTCTAAAGTAGTTTGTGGCTAAATTAGTAGTTGAACATTTTAGTAGCAACCTCTACAACGTCTGTACAATTAATGTTGGTAAATAATGATGGTCAGTTAAATTAAAATATCACATTGGGGTATTTGCTTTTTAAAACAAGATACATATTAATGATAATTCCTAAAAACAGCCAATTTATTTCAAGACAATAAAATAAACTCGAATTTCTCAAATAGAGACTCTGGCTATAACTACTTTGTATATAGTTTGCACAATTTCGGCACGTGTCCGCAAAACAGCCTTGTATAAGTAGTTTCATCAGAAGTGACACCGGATCCAAAGACATTCTGTGATGTCTTTGGCAATGATAAGTTCCAATTCCACTTAAGCTTTCAAGTCCCCATTGTATCTGTATCGGGCTTTTATATCCCTCCTCTTGAATTATCCAACAATTACACAAAAGCGAATTTATTTTGGTATTGCAGCTCGAGAGCTTTTCTTCGGGCTTAATCAGCAAACTCGAGGGCACAAAGAGTGACTGGTAGAGTGTGTTTGTGTGTGTTTTTAATCTGAATCTGAAGGGTTTTATCTGCTGAGTAAATACAACAAGAGCTTGACAAACAAACAGGGTGTCTCGATGGTTCCCTCGCTGCATTTACACCGGGTTACCTGCCCCTACACCAAGCTTCGGGCTCTTTTAATAACAAAACCCATTAAAAGTGAAAGTATGTATAAATCTATAAGTCGTTAGTACACATAACTTTTTAATATTTTACTATATTAACCTTAGCAATTTAATCAATAGTAAGTAAATGGTGGTCGCTTGACTGTAGGTTTAGTACCTTCTATAGGTTATTGAAATATTTATTAGGTTCTTTGGAAAGGGATTTCAAAGATGGCTATGTATTTCCTATTTACTTTTCATCACTACCACCTCCTCCCTCCTCCCTTTAATATCTGGCCTTGAACGCCAGGCTCGGCGCGTGTGCTTAATCCGCTCCATCTCGCTCAGTGTTGGCTCCCCGTCTCTGTCGCGCCTAGAAGTCAGGGTTATTTCTGCAAAATGCAGGCAGCAGCAGCGCCGACCTTGAACTTTTGCGCTGCAGATGTGCCCACAGCCCTTGGCGAGTGGAGAGCCCAGCTTCGCTGCAATTGCCAGGGCCAGCTGGGTGGTGGGTGGCTGAGGGCTGAGCCCAGCCCTGGCCCACGCCCCCTTTTAATCCGCTGCCTGCAGCTGTTGTTGCTTTCGTTCGTGCGGTTGCAACTCGCCACTGATAGTAACAACAGCAACAACAACGAAAACAATGGACGCCAGGCAGGCAGCTCGCTGCAAATGAAAGCTTTCGGCTTGGCTGCTTTTCATTTCTGTTTTTCATTTCCATTTGGCAAGCGGCGCCCCGGTTGCGTTGCATATTGCATAATTTGTGGGCGCGACCAGACGTTGATTGGGATCGGACGGCGGGTGCGGAAAAGTGGACGGGAGCAAGGCCACCCAGCGGAGATGGGCCACTCAGATGCCATGTCGCCTCGTTACGCTTTTCGCATTGTTGCGTTTCCAACTGTCAGTCAGTCAGTCAGTCAGTCATCCGTCCAGATAGTCCTCTCCGCCTCCAATGAACTGATTCCCCTCTGCACCTCCAATAAAATGAGAGATGGACTATAAAAAGAAACACCAAGCGCCTCGACCTCATTTGCGGCCTTGTACAATATTCCAAATATTTTTGTAATTATGGAAAAAATTACAACAATGGGAGGAGGAGATGTAGGTCTACGGCCTACATCTTCATCCGTATAGAAATTACCTCTCTGCTGGTATATTCTATTTTTGTTGAGCGGGATAATCGGCTAATTAAATCACTGAAACACCGGCTTTTAAATAGAATTCCCATTTCATTTTACATATACCATTGCTTATTCTGCGCTAGAAAAATAACGAGTAAAAGTAAAATCATAATTAAATCTATTCCGCATACAAGTCGAAATTGAAAATAAAATTTATTTTAAACAATATAATCTCTTATTTATTTACCAACCAAATATACAGGCTTGTCATAAAATAAGTCTTTACATCAAATTACCCACTTAATAAAATTATTCTACGCAGTGCTTTAAATACCTTCATATTTCAAATATTTGAATGGATTAAACCGTCAAAATTCTTTACTTCTTCGGCATAAATCTTTCTTAAGAATTGTTACTCATACGCCCCGTATGAGTGAAGATGGAAGGCCTATACATTTGTATACCTATCAAAAGATGTACAAATAAATATAGAAGTGTGGCTCATGGTTCGTGCCCTCTGTGATAGTGAGACATTCAGATAGATGGCGAAACTTTCTCATCAGTATGTTTTTATTGAAAGCACAATAATACACCAATTAAGCTGGTGGTTTATACATATATAGATCCCTTTTATAATGCGTTGAGTTTCGTTATCAGCCCCATTCAATTTGCTACACATACAAAAATGTATGTGTCGTTAGGAATTTACAAGAATTTAAAGTAGTTAAAGGGTAAGAACAAATATATAAAACTGTTTTTGAGTTTAGCGAACTGTCTAGTCCGGTCATTAAGAAAAACGGCTGTATATAAAACCGAACTTGGTGTCTAAAAAACGATCTGGCATATGTCAAGTCTAGAGGTATATGCATTAAGTCAAGCCCTATACCTTAATCATATATGTAACAACTATAACATAGGAATGTTTTCATTTTGTAATGTTGTTAATCAATAGCCAATCGATCATCAATTTAGGAACTTCTTTTTTCTGTGTACCCAGGGCGAGCACAACATATCATGAGTAGATGTGCGTCTGGCGCTTATTGAAAAACAATTCCCACTTTTAATCAGCGGCAAGTGGGTCGATCGCGGCACGCACAAGATTTCTAATCGAGCTGAGACGCAAGTTCTCCGTATCCCCACAAGACTATTGCCGAGGTCAGTTATGGACCACACTCCACGCCCCCTGTTGGCCCCCTTCCTCTCATCAGTGTGAATCATGCAACGAATATAAAGCAAAATTTAATTAAATGAGACTCGGACTCACAGACATACGGAAAACAAACATGGAATACTCATTTGCCGCTCGGTAAATTAGGTCATCATCATTGACAGAGCGAATTTTGGAGCCCAGCACAGATCCCGAAATAGAAGCGAATACCATCGAGAAACTGCCGAACGCGTGTCTCTCGCCATCGACAAAGAATGGGTGCGAATTGGCGTGGAATGTGTCGCGAAAGCCAAAATGGGAGCCAATGAATGGGATTGAATTGTTGCGATGTCCGATATTTAGAACTTAGGCAAATATTGATTTGCCCTTAGTTTGGGGTTCGCTTTCAATAACTTCTCCCCCCATTTTCCACGCAATCATCAATAACTTTTTCCAGACAAATGCTATAATAATAAAAGACCCCGATCCATAGATTAGGGCAATGCAGTTATCGTTGAGTTGGGCACATGTTTCACATTCCCGAGAGGCAACTGGACTGCGGAGCTCCGAGAGTTCCCATCCAGATACTTTATTTATAGATCAGTGAGCAACGAAAGAGCCTAGTCGTAGGCTTATTTATGGCATGGTTGCCATTATATGGCTCCCCAATAGTTCAGAAACGGCAGAATTTCTTTCATTTGTGGGGTCAGGGCAGGGAAATCGAAATTGAAATGGACTCGTTTATCAAATAAAAACGATTGATTTGTTGTCATGCTAAAGCGAATCTACTTCTCTGTGCATCTGGCTCATAAAGAAGTTCTTATCGCCGTTGCGGTTTCCCACAAAATATGACTAAGGCAGACCATAACTTGAAATGGCATATCGTCGATGTTGCACTCTAGTCTAGTGAATTTCCCAATTTAATGGCTCTGTGCCGGGCAGTACCTCTAAACGCCGAAATTCATTAGCAATATTTATGCACATTTAATTGAGGTTGTAATTGCTTTTAAATTGTGCCAAGCACAGCGGAAGAAACAAGTATTTTCAAAAGTCTGCGTCTGTATGTGTGTGTATTTAGCCCGAAAGCACACTTTGACCGCAAAGACAGGAAACCAAGCTTTGCCCAAGAAGGCAGTGGGTGGTGGACAATAGATATTCAAATGGGAAGCCCAAAACCGGGTGTTTCACGACTCCCAAAAGTCTGCAGACTTATTAAAAAATTCCCTGTAATCAGGAATTTAAAATAAAGCAAATAAAGAAACCGAATAGTTTCTGGCAACATAAATTTGCTTTTGTCAACATTTTCTGCTGCCTTCTCCTCTGTTTAATTTATTCCATTTTTTCAAAAATATGATGTGACAAGTTGAAATAGCCATTTTCTTTTTAATTTTAGCTTTGGGTACAGAGTATCTGACAATCAGTTAGTTTCTTTTAGAAATATTAAAAAAATAATAAAAATATAGTTTCAAGAGAAAAAACTTGCAATACAAATACAAATTAACATATGTAGAGGGCAAAAAATAAAACCTTTATTTAAAATTACAAAATTTCTACGTTTTAATGGGCACTTCCCTTGGGCCTGAACATCCCCAATGAGTGCATTGGAGTTCAAAAAGCTACAAAAACCACAATTAAAAGCATGAAATATTTGGACGATTGCGTAACACCAGAGACCTCCATTGAAGCGAAGAAGGCCCAGTTCGGGGTCCGACCATATTCGACGAGGCGCCGCATTTGGTTGCTGGGCAGATTGCAGCAGAATTCCAGAGGGGATCGGGGCTTGGGTGACGCCGACGGACGCACGTGAACATTACCGCTTAGCGTCGTCGTCGTCGTTGTCACTCCGGATTCTGGTTCAACATTGGACATCCAAAGCTTGGGGTTCGGGCCTCGGAGTTTCGAGGCGGGTTTTGTAACATGAAACGTGAAACGAGCAATGGACGTGCAACGTGTGGGCAACTTTTCTTGTGCGGCGCTTTCTTCACTTCTTCATTTCTTTAGCTTCTGTGTCGCCCAAGCCAACCGGAAGTTTTACAAAGGCAAATGAGCAAAAAAAAAAAAAATATAAATAAAAAAAAGTATGAAAAAGTTGACAAAGCCAAGGGGACAGAGCGGTAATTTCGAGTTATAATAAAAAGCAGGAAAAAAAAAGTTGACAGTGTCCCAGCAACAGTGAATGAATTTCAAATCACGTACAATGAACGCAGCGAGTTGTTGCTTCTGCTGCTGCCACTGATGGTGACACCAAAAGAGCGCCCGCCCGGCTAAAACAAAAAGGCTGCAAGTTGGCCAACAAAAAGAACAGAATGTTGCTAATTTAAAGCACGTTAGAAAACAGCGAGGGTGGAACAATGGAAAATGAGCTCGGAAAAGGGGTGCAGCAGTACCAGGGCGGCGCAATGGCGGAGTGATCGCCCTCTCCTTTAATAATGTCTTTTTCACGCTGCTCTGCATTAATTGTGTGGATTATATGGCGCAGTGAAAAGGATTCACTTCCTCATCGCCACAAGGGGAGGCAGCAACAACAATTGCAGCGCCCTCGACGTCCCAGTAGCTGCAATCAGATACTGAATTGAGGGCAGGTTTTCCATATACATATATTTCCCCTATTCTGTGGAAGGAAACTCTGGAGACGGAAGTGTCGACTTTACGCTGCTCAATAGTCGCTCCGGAATCGTAACTTTAAGGAATATGAGTTCTGAATGCTTAGCTTTCCGTTTGATAGCTGGGTAAGTCTGTCAAATCCGGAGTAGTAATAAATGTTGACTAACTCCAAAAGACGGAAAATGCAAAAGCCCACCGTACCTAATGAGTGCATAGTGTAACAGGAAGTTTATAGTCCTAAATCTCTAAAAAAAAAAAACAAGTAATTCCTTTCATAGACTATAAATTAGTCAACTGTGCAACAAACTTTTAAATTGATTAGTTTATAAAGGACTAAGGGCCAGTTCCTCGAATTATAGATTGACCAGAAAGTGTATTTGAAGAAAGAATAACAGAGTGCTGTTAACTACCGACTTGTGCTGCAACGCGCAGAGGCAAAGAACACATTCCATTTAAAAATAATATTCTTCAATTAGGTTTCTGAAAGGGTGTAATTTTGTCAAAACAAAAAAAAAGGAAAAAGGAAGGAAATAATTATAAATAACTAATTGATGGTCATAAAGTAATTCTTAAATGAACAAAAAAAAAAACAACAAAATTACTTTATTTTATAAACACCTTTTAAATTCTGAACAACCTTATTTCGAAAATATTTATGACCTAAAGACCACCAGTTATCGTTAATTATTTCGTTGATCAAGTTAACTCAAACACGTCCATTGATATTATTGTTCGTTTTATCTTCTCTTCTCTTTCGTTTCTGGCCAAAAGCAATGTGTGTGTGTGTGTGTGTTGGGGTGGGCGGAGAGGTCAGCATGCGGGTGACGTTGTGGATGACTCAAACAGAGAGTGAGAGTGACAAAAGCCGAAATAAAATGCACATAAATAAACACTCAAAGAGCGCAAGGGTACACACACACACACAGTTGGCTGCACCGTCACTTTCGGAAGTGGAAGAGAGGATGAAATGAAGAAGAGGACGAGAAATAAATCATGGCGTCAAGCGGCCAGGACATCACGCCCACGGACGAAGTTCCACCGTCCGTAGCCTGCATGCACATGCACTCCTTTTCATTACGGAAGCAGGACATGCACACACTTACACATATGCACACTAAAGCCTCATGCACATGTGTGTGCAATCAGGGGCGAAACGAGGACATTGCAGGCCACCAACAAAATCAATGAAATTTTCACTACTTCCGATACACTCAAAACAAAAATCAAACTACAAAGCCATACAATTCTCCAAATTAACTTGGAAAGTATAAGTAAGGATTTTTCGTATAATAGCCAAACTCAAAATGACAACTTTTTTGTAGAGTTGTTTTTGTCAGTTGCCATTAAATAAACTATTTTCCAAAAATAAGAAAATGATGTTTAGATCTTAAAACGAGTGCCACTTTTCTTTTTCTTTTTTCACTGTACAAAAAAAGAAAAGGGAGGTAAAAAGAAATGTACAGGGTGGAGGCTAAAATGAGGATAGCCTCGTTCAGTCGTCTGGTCGATGTTTGCCTTTCGGCTTCGTTCGGCAGGCGAGACCAGAGTTATTAGCCTGCAACACCTTTTAGCCAAACAGCATATAAAATACAGCAAAGCCAAAGGATTTGAGCAAACACCATCCAAGCTAATGGCTTTTCCTTTGCAGCTCACGTGAAAGGGAAATTCCGTGCCTTTACCAGGGAAAAGACGCTCAGTTCTATGGAAAAATATTAGCTTTGAGTTTTAAAAGAGCCCAGAAAGATCAAACACTTGCAACACTTCCTCAATGCAGTCCTCCTTGGCTGTTATGTCAGAATGGCTATGATGCGCGCATCATTCGACAGTTATTTTAATATAATTAACCTTGGTCACGCCACTTGGCGCAAGTGGGTTACGAAAAATTTGCAAGCCAAACACAGACAAGAAAATTGCGCAAACAAGTGACCCAGAATAATAATTAAACAACCAGCCGCACAACAAGTTGCTCATCTAATCAATTAAGAAATCCCCGCAAGGGTCATTGAACCCAATAAATATTGTAAACTATCTTTGAGGCGTTATAATAACTTAACATGTGATATAAGAACCATGTGAACATACTAACATATATACTATATGTATGGTTTTTGGTTTTAATTGGAAACTATCAAGGACCTTTACTGAGAATAGATACTTTTAGTTTTCCTTGAGGATAGATATTACAAAAATTGATCTTTAATGTATGTATATCGATATTACATTTTTAACGTAACTTTTCTTGTTGTAGGAAAAATGTTTTTTATTAAAATAAACATTTTAACAAATATAATCCTTCTCAATTTAAGCTTTGGTACTCATCAAAAACCTAAACCCAAACCCAAACCTTATAAAGTACCTACGGGTACGTAATATAATAGCTAAGCATAAGGAATGTACTACAAATGATTAATATTCTTTAAAGTTGTCAATTTATCAAATAAACTTCACTTTGGTATTTCATTTAGATTCAGATTTGTAGATTTACTTATAGAGGTGTACTTACATCTGGTGGATCCCATACACATTCGCCCGTGGTGAGATTGGCGTACATGTGCTCCTTGGTACGTGGCTCGATGATTTCTACCCATTCTATTCTGCTGGGCCGGAATGGAGCGACGAAGAAGATCCGGAGAGGGCGAGAAATACACATAAATAAGACATAAAATGCGATTGCTTCTATTTTCGAGCGGCCGACAAAGGCATTTCAGGAATGCTCTTCACGAACGGGCGGTTCTCATCCCGATTTTTCTTCGTGCACGCCAAGTACTAGATATATTTTGTAATACATGCCCTCCCCCCTCCCACAAAAAAAATAAGCTAGCAGCAGCAAAAACAATGACTAAATCTCACTCGTTAGTCATGTGTTTCATTCAACTTTTCACGCATTCATTGAGGCAAATTTACGGACGAAATAAAGTTTACCAAAATCGGCTCTTTGTGCGTAGATTTCGTTCAGTGCGTCTGTGTGTGTTTGCTGCATGGATTTTCCCCCATGCAATCGTGCTTTTCTCTACACAGACAAACATATTTTGTCAAACATTTTCCGGTTTTTCCCTATTTGAAAATTGCAGTCCTTCCACACGCACACAAACACACACATGGGGAGTTGGGAGAGAGTGAGTCGAGTGAGTGCTAGAGGGTGTTAGTGTTGGCACTCTCTTTTGGCTCATTTGGCGGCCGACGCTTGTTGCCGCGCCTTGCTAAAAAATCGATTTTGCAAAGTGCCGAAAATGCACAAATCAGGCAATTTAATCAAGCTAAAGAAAATGCATGCAGCCCACTCACGCATTCTTACCCTCCTCTCTTTCTTGCTCTCACACACGCACACTTACGCCCAGCACGCAGCTGTCAAAAGGCGGCTCCTTCGACGCTCCCTCTCTTCCTCTCTGTCTCTCCCGTCTCCCCCACTAAGAAGCACTCTCTCCTTCCGCCACCCACCCATTGGCACTGCATTCAAGACAATTTATTTAACAAAAGCATCTGCAGTTTTGCATTGTTGATGCCACCGCAGCGGCTTTTGCTGTTGCTTTTGCTTTCTTAATAAATTGTATACACAATTTCGACATTCGCGTTGTCTGGAGATTGTTGTTGTTGCTGCTGCTAGTTGTAGTGTAACGGCACACACCTTTCACAACTTGAACTCATTTTTTTCTCTGCTCTTTATTAGGGGGCTGGTTGTTGTTGTTGCTGCTGGCGGCGGGTTTCTCTCGAACGTTGTTGTTGTTGTCTCCTTTTGCTATTTCTGCCGCTGCTGCTGCTTCTTCTTGCCCGTTTCCTTACACACAAACGCACACACCCCGAACGCACTTTTACATATACTTTCTTTCACTTATTTTCGGCAGCGAAAATGCAATTTCGCTGAACTCGATTGATTTTTTACACTCTCGCACACTCCTTTTTCACATGCGTGCCGTTGTTGTTGCTGTGGCTCCTGCAGTTCTTCTTGTTTTATTAGTAGCTGCCGCTGCAGTGCAACGGAAAACACTTTCACAATTATGACATAATTTACAGGCCATATTTTCGCTTTGCCCTGCGTTTCTGCAACTGCATGTTCCCAGTGCTTTCTTAAGTATTTATGCTGCAGTGCGTGCAAATTCGAACGCGACGATCCGCTTTATTTCGCTGCATTAGAGCTGGAAAAACATTGATGGTTACACCGATGGTATATCGATGTTGTATCGGTAATGCTGATGATGCGATACATCGATTTGGTTTTCAAGCATCGGTATTTTTAATTTCCGAAAGAGGCAGAGCCAGGATACGTCTCTCGATCTCACTGAAATACGACGATCGATTGCTAATACTCTTCTACTAATTTTAATTAAATTAGATCCAGAGTAATTATTTTTAAATTTATTGAAGTAAATAATATCGATACCAAACGTCTGCCTGCTCTACCAATTGGTACCACCACCAACAGAAAAACCAAAACAAACTGGACCAGAGCGTAGTGTGACCAGCTCATAATAAAAGAGAAAAAAGTTCGCTTTAGCAAGCCGAAGATTAAATACCCTTTCAGATTTAAAAAACACTCGCTGTTATTACTTATAAATTGAATCAAAAATTAAAGTAGCATTGGTGGATTAATGTTGACTTAAATACTTTAACATCAGTGATATTTTTTCACCCATGGCGAAATTCTGATCACTGTCAAGCTAATAAATAAAGGACATTTCATGAAAACAAATTAAATTACACTTTATTGTTATTGTTATGTTTTGTGGTGGCGGAATAAAATCTCATTTTATTTGTAACGTACATAGTTATCAAAAATAGTTTAAATTTCAAGAAAAAACACGTTAAGTTTACTTCACAGAGTGGTTTCGACTATAAATCGGCTTAGCCCCGGATCTGCAGACATTAGTAGCAGTCCGAAATCATGTTCTCATCGTCGCGCTTAATCGCACTCAGAATATCATCCAGAAGGGAAGTGAAGTTCTCCTTGCACTCGAACCACTCCTGATGCTGCTTTACTAACTGATCCAAGTCGATGTTCTTCAGTTCCGCGTAAAACTGTCGCAGCGGCACCGCAAACTGTTTGTAGTAGAACTCATCTATATGGCGCTTTTCGTCCGTTTTCTCCTCCTCATCGTTAATTTGCATCTGCGTCTCGAACGCCTTCTCCAGCAGCTGGGCATCCTGCGAGTTCAGTATGGCCTCAATGACCTCCTCCGACTGGGCTGAGTTCATTGGCGATCCCTGTCCGGGTTCCTGGGAAGCTGGCCTTTGCTGATTTTGTGATGGAAAACCAAACCGTGACTGCTCGTTGTCCAGGAGCGGAGACCTCAATTCGATCTCGTCCAGTATGCCTTTGTAGCGCTCGAACTTCTCAGTCATTATTTTTACGCCCTTGATGATAAACTCGAGGACTTCCATTGAGGCCTCCTCGCGCAGGCACTTTAGCATGATGCCGAAGTATCCGTACTGTTGCATCTCGCCAAAGACCTTGGCAATGCTCGTTTGAATTTCCTTCTCCGTCAGCGTGACGATTTTCTTTTGCTCCTTGGAAAAGGTAACCGTGGGAAAAACACCATCAATCATGCCCTGATTGCTAAACTGACGATAGAACTCCCGACGCCAAAACTCCAACGCTCTCATCTTCACTTCCGAGTGGTGATCCCCGGCCACACAGTAGTTGAGTGTTGAAAATAGCGTGTTCTTGTACTTGTTATGGATCTTACGGTGCTCGTAAATCTTCATCAGGGTGACCACGGCCTCGGAGCGCACAATATCATCGTTCTCACGATACATCACAAACAGCAGATGATCCTGTTTGAAAAAAGTCAAAGTTAATGTTTTAGATATTGTGGTAAACCGATTAGCTACAAACCACAAGATCGAGTTGACTAAGCCCATTCTCCCACAGCAGATTAATTGATACCATTTGCGAAAGGCACTTAAAGGCCGATGCGCGGACATAGTTCTCCGAATCGTTCTTCGCCATTTCGTACACTATTGGAGGTATCTTTGAGTCGATTAGAAATCGTTGAAAGGCGGGAAACTCTACGGAAATAAATTATTGGGTAATTGACACAAAGGTAAAATAATAGGGGAGCTCACTGATGCGGGAGATACTAGCAATGGAGGTGGTCAACTCTAGCGTGGTGTCACGCACTTCCCACATGGTGTCGTGCATCCGCTTTACTATGATGGGACCCAGGCAAACCAGCGCCGAGCCCTGCAAATTGTCCACCAGCAGAGCCATATTTGGTGATAGGAAGTGCTCTACAGCCAGCTGAACGAGTTTTAAGGCCTGGACAGTGCACTGGCGGAAAAAAGGTAGCGATTAATTGTATTTATATAGTTAATATTTTCTAGAAATTTTCTAGCTTGCCGAAGAATTTCTGATCAAAGTTCAAAGGTAAAAGAATTGAAAAACACTTCTTTTAATTAACCAAGAAAAAAAAGATTACAGAAAACTCACCCTGGCATCCATGTTGGTGTTCTCCAGAACAAACGCCAGACAGTTTACTAGGCCAATAGTCTCCACCGACTCTTTCCAGGTGATCTTGAAACGTTCGATTAGAGTACGAAGACCCACCATGACGGAGTGCAGAACCTTCGGATCGTTGACGACCAACTCAGTGCCACGGGGGTACATTTCTAGGTAGGAACTGCCGGCACTGCTAACGCTGTGGCAGTCATCCTGCATATTGTTGGTTATTACGCTCAAGGCGACAGCCTCGCGGAGGACATAGAACAGTGCTTGGCAGACAGTGACCGCCTGCTCCCGATCAAGCACCTTCTCCAAGGCCAGCAAACTGTGGATGCACTTGTTCGCCAGCCCAGGTGTCACCAGACCAACTGATGTGCCGTCCGCCGTGAAAAAAGCGTCTCGCATCGTGTAGCAAAGTCGCAGCGTCTGCTCGCAGGATATCTCCAGCAGCTTGACAACATAGGCGTCGAAAACGTCAACCTTGTTCTCCTCGTCGTTGATCTTTTGGGCGTACTTCATGGAGAATAGCAGCGGCAGCATGTGAAAGCAAATAAGTTGGTTCTCGAAAGTGACACGCTCCTGCTGTATAACTATCTCCTTGGGCGCACGCGCTCCGAGCTTCTTCCACAGCACGTGATTCAGCTCCGCCAGCTTGACAAAGCTCACGCCGTCCTTGCGGGTGATAAAGAATTTCATGAGATTGAAGAACGACAGCCCGAACTCGGTGAACTCTTCGGGGGGCTCGGCAGAGTCCAGATTCAGCAGCTTTTCGTGCATCAGCAGGGCAAAGTTATAGCTGCTGAGCGTTGTAAATATCTTCTCGATGAAGTACGGATTGTGCGTCATGTCGATCAGTTTCCATATGGTTATTTCGAAGTCGTGGTACTCCTTGAGCAGCGCAATTAGGCTGGTCCGCTCCTCGAGCACCAGCGTCTGTTGCAGGATGTAGGAGAGCAGGTCCAGCGTAGCAGAGATCTTGTGCAGCAGTTCGTTGTCGTCCACCTTAATGTGGATTCGCTCCTCGCTGTCGGTATTCTTGTACAGATTGTCGTGGATGGGCTGCAGGATCTCGGACAGGATCTCCAGTGTCACGGCCTTGTCGTGCAACTTGTCGCAGGACTTGTACAGCACATCGTAGAGCACCGCCCTGGCCTCCCGCACCACGTACAGGGTGTGATCGTTGTTGGAGTACTGGATGAGCAGCTGCCAGGCGCGGTGGATGCGCAGAAACGCGAGCCCCATGCTATACCTGCTTATGGCCTTCATCAGACGAATGCCGCCCAGCTTTATTGAAGGGCTGAAGTTGCGATCCCCCGACTGCAGCAGTTTTATGATTCTGATAGCCGAAGATCGAAGCCACGGATTAGCCAGCGGTAGCGACATGTTGTTATCTCATCGTCACTCACACTCACCTGTTCACAATATCCAGCTCCCGCAGTCGCACAATCATCCACTCGTTGTGCGCCAGATAGCTGCTCAGATTTAGCATGAACGAGATGACCTTTGGGTGGATTTTGTTGAAGTCCTCCACCACCATGGTGATGCACTTGTCCACCCATTCGACCACAAATGGGGCCTCCAGCACATACGCGTTCTCTGCGGAGACATTAGTAGATAGCACACCAAACAGACCTCAGACTAGACACAGACACTCACCCTTGGCCTGCAAGTGGGTGAGGAGTTTCTCAAAGTAAACATTGTTGGTTGTGGAAAAGTTATCGCGCAAAAATATGTCAAATATCTGGCGCAGGCGCGACAGCACCTCCTCTTGCTTCTGCATCTTTTCGCTGGTGTTCCACAGTGACTACCTTTGTGCCTGCCGATTCCTCCTAGGGCATACTTTTGGCTTGCAATTGTTCCACAAAATAATGAAATCGCTTGATTGCGGGCGGCTCTTCTTATCAAGCCGAAAGACGACACTTGTTTTGCTTTCAGAGGGACCGTTCGTCGGGTGCGCTAAAATGCCGCAGTTCTAGGGTTGTCACTAAAGACACCTGCGTGAATTGGTCACAGATTACCGAACTATAGTCCACCCAATTTTTACGAAACATAAAACAATTTGTAATACGACCAAGTAACAAATTATTTTAATAAATGATATATTTTCAAAGCAAGAATAAAACAAAAACGAGAATAATTTCATAAGCTGTTATTATTTTGGAAATTGTAAAAAATGTAATAAGTGCCTGAAGACACTTTTGGGGTCTAGAGAGTAAGGTTTTTAATCGCAATTATGCAAATATTTGCCTTGGAATTATTTTTAATATTTGTGTGTATTCATGTCGAACGTGATCGATCACATATTCCTAAACTCACGTCGTGTTGGCATCTCTGTTGGCAAGTCGTGCAGCGGCCGCAACAGCTCAGGCACGGGAGGGTCACACTGTTCGTAGATGCAAAATAATGACGCTGACATCGAATCGGACCTTAGGATGGATAATAATGTAGAGCAAGCAGCAAAAAGCCAAACAGCAGATTCCACAGCAACAACAACCACACCAGCAGCTGCAGTCTCAGCCGGAGCAGTGAGCCCAGCAAGTGGAAACGTTGTGGCCAACGCGAACTCGACCTTTTGGAAAAACAGCGGACGACGGGTGCCCGGACGGCCAAGTCCCAAGCGGGAGCTCGATAAGTCGGTCGGGGCCGGAGGTGCGGCAGTTGGTGGAAGAGGCGCTGGCCCCAACACCGGCATGGTGTCCACCTTCCGGGACTACCAGCAGTCGGTTAGCGATGCCTGGGACACGGGTGACGACGAGTTCTGCATCATTAGCAGCTCGGAGGCGGCGGCAGCGGCGGCCGTTGGAGCAGGCGGTGGTAAAAATATTCTGTCCAATCATGTTCTTGTCCCTCTTTTTTCACATTTCGGTTTGGTCTGTTCCTGCCCCCAGATGGCGCTCGCATTTCGCGCCAGGTGTCCCAGACCGTGGCCCTCAATGTGATCGAGACGCACTCGCGAAGCAATCAAAATCACAACGCATCCAAGTCGGCAAGTGATTGCAGCGCAGACCTAATCTCGGGCAGTAGAAATTCCTCAGACGATACCAAGGAAGACCGTCGATCGCTGCCGGACAGCAATGAGAACAGGTGAGGGGCGAGTGTGCTTGGTGGAAGTGGAAAAGAAAGTTGAACTCGGTGCCCGCCCGCCGCAGTTGTGCAAACAAGTTAGAGTTGGAGAAGGTGCGCACCCGCATTGCGCCTTGTTAACTCGGTAATGTAAGCTGCATAAGGTAGCCCTTGAGGCCTTGAAAAATGTTATGTAAAGATTTTATGCCACTGCCTTTTCGACCGATAACTGCTTTGAGCAACAGCTACTCCGTTCGCCACTCCCAACCCAGCCCATTCCGCGGAGACATGTCAGCAGTGTCAAGACCGGAAGATATCAATCCTGTGGATAGTAATTTAGGTTGCATTTACAGATCACGCTTGAGGAACTACCCAGGAAGGCCGCAGCTGCAAAAGATCAGCTCGAACTGCCAGGACAGCGAATACGAGACCAAGATTGAGAAGTTCCAGGTGTTGCTAGACTCGCCGCAATTGGATTTGGTGGCTCTCAAGAAGATCAGTTGGTCGGGAGTGCCGCGGAAGGTGAGAGCTCAACTTTACTTAAGAATAAAGAATCCAACTTAGGCTCCGCTTCAGATGCGCGCTGTCAGCTGGCGACTTCTCTCGAAATATCTGCCGCCGTCGAGTGAGCGGCGGATGGCGGTGCTGGAGAGCAAGCGGCAGGGCTACCAGGACCTTAGACACAACTACTTCCGGGTGGACAGCCAAGACGAGACGCAACAGGACACGTACCGCCAGATCCATATCGATGTGCCGCGTATGAATCCGCAGATACCGCTCTTCCAGCAGCAGCTCGTCCAGGAGATGTTCGAGCGCGTCCTCTTCATCTGGGCCATCCGCCATCCGGCCTCGGGCTATGTTCAGGGCATTAACGACCTGGTCACGCCCTTCTTCATTGTCTTTCTCCAAGAGGCCCTGTCGCCGAACACGGATCTCGAAAAGTACGACATGTCGACGTTGCCCGAGGAGACGCGCAACATCATTGAGGCGGACTCGTTTTGGTGCCTCTCCAAGTTTCTCGACTGCATACAGGACAACTACATTTTTGCCCAGCTGGGCATTCAGGAGAAGGTCAACCAACTCAAGGATCTGATACAACGCATTGACGGTAAGATGACTGCTTGCCCAGATTATCTTTAATTGAGACTGATCCAATACAGATAGCGATATTATGTTGGATGTCTGATAAGATAAATAGCAACGACTTGCCAGAACTGGAGGCATAAAAGCCACAGCTTATGGTTGTCAGAGCTGTCTCTGATGAGTTTAGGTAAAACGTGAGGCTACAGATACAAAATATGTGGGGTATATTATCCTAACATCTCGAAATGAACTTTGACTAATAAGTCATTACTACGCGGATATGTATAATGAACAAATTTAAAAACTTTTCCGTAAAATTTGTTTGTTAATAATATCGATATATGGACGTTAACTCCGATTTTTCGATATTTCAAGATTTGAAAGAATTTTAATTATTTTTTTTAATTTTTGTACAGTGAAATGAGAAAGTCCTTTTGATAATCCCCAAAATATGACATTTCGTTTTTCCACTTTGCCAGTTTTTTCTAAGATTGGGTGTTATTACATTTTTAAATTTGGGAAGTTATTTCGTAGTGTTATTTTCTTTTTCTTGGGAACTTATTTATTTTATTTTATTTTTTTTTTCAAAAATTAAAATAACTTCCCAAATTTTATCAAAAATTGTTTTTGTTGTTTTCTATACACATTTTTGGGGACTTATTTCGTTTTTTGTTTTGGAGACTTATTTCATTTGGGGTTTATTTCGCAGATGATGACCAGATAGGGGGTAGGCATTAATAGTCCCCCTAATAATTGGCCTTCCAACCTATAATTACCAAATAAACTGATACATACATTTACAAGCAATTAACATTTAACTCTCATTCAATTTCAGTGAATCTGCACCGTCATCTACAGACGCATGGCGTCGACTATTTGCAATTCTCATTTCGTTGGATGAACAATTTGCTGACACGCGAACTGCCGCTGCACTGCACCATCCGGCTGTGGGACACATATCTGGCCGAATCGGACGGCTTCGCCCTGTTCCATTTATACGTATGCGCGGCATTCTTGCTGCACTGGAAGGAACAGTTGATGCAACAGAACGATTTCCAGGTACGCATGCATAATCATAATTAATACATAAATCATAATCATAAATCAATGATAATGGCCACCGGCAGGGTCTCATGCTGCTGCTACAAAATCTGCCGACACACAACTGGTCCGATCGCCAAATCAACGTTTTGCTGGCCGAGGCATTCCGCTTGAAGTTCACCTATGCGGACGCGCCCAAGCACTTGGAGACGAAGAGTTGACAAAAGCAACACAAACAATGCATATTATACGTAACATAGAGGTTTACATAGTTTACTACGATCTGCGGAATATACCTATATACATACAACGTACGCTACATACATCTAATAATTATATACAATTTGTTGTTTAGCCGTTCTTCTGTTTGTTTTGTTTCCCTATTTCTAGTTTCGTTTGAATTTAAACAGAAAAGAAACCATATTCTTATTAAACTCTCCGCTTTTTGTAAATACGAATCAAACGAATTCAAAATACAATTTTACACGTTCAACGGCAGCAGTTTTCATTAAAATATTTGTCTTTTATAAAAACAAATCGAATCAAAAGTCAAGGGGAACAGCTCCGTACTTTTCCTTGTGCATTAAACTCAAAAATTAGCTTAAAAATAATAAAGATGGATAGCTATAAAGTTGAGTTGATTTTAAAATTACAATTGTGGAGAATCTAAGTTAAAATCTTTTAGGGATGCTCTTCGATTCATAATCTAATCATAATTATGACGACTAATTCAATCCTAGTTTTGCCGCTCGGCAATGTGCTTGAGCTGCTTAAGAACTGTTTCCAGCAGCTTCTTCTTATCGTTCTTGCGCACCAGCGAGAAAATGGGCTTCTTGTCCGCCTCGCGGATCTTCTCCAGTATCACAATAATGGACTGCGGCTGGACGAGATGGTATCGGTTCTCTTGCTTGCCATAGTCGTGGAAGTACGTGCTCCACTCCTCAAGGATGAGCAGGTCCAGCAGCTGGCGGTTGCGCAGGAAGTACTTGCTGAGCTCGCCCTCCTTCAGTCCTGGGACCGGTTCTGAGGCCGCAAAAAACTCGCACTGCATGAGGTCGAGGTTGATCTGTGTCAGCGCCCCCGTCGAAATCTGCTTCACATCCTCATCGTACATGATTGAGTAGATCTTTTCCGCAATGTGTTCACAGGTGCGTCGACAGGCAGCCTGGGCGATGTGGGGCAACTTAAAGGCAAAATTGTCGAATGTGCTCTTTAGATACGAAATCATGTCCGTGATAAAGGCGGACGCTATGCCCGGCGGCTCCACCAGTAGCCAGTCGTAGGCGCTTAGCTCAAAGAACTCGTCGATTTTGGAGCAGATCCGCAGGCCAACCTGCTTCTCGGCATCCTGCCGCGCCACATGGAACATGGCCGATGGACTCTGCGACACACTCCGCTCCGTGTTGGTCATATGGCAGACGAACTCGTCCAGAAAAGGTCCGGCCTTCTCCAAATACTGCGTGTCAATGATGATCTGAATGAGCTGCGTTAGCGTGATGCTCGGCTGACGAAAAACCACCGAAAGGCAGCCGCTGAAGCTGCGTGTGAGGAGCAGATTGGCCGCCTTGCGCACCATGGCGGCCACCTCATTCGGTGACAATGTCAACTCCTCGGCAAACTTCATGCAGGCGTACATGAACTCCTTGGCCTGGTGATATACCTCGGGAACCATGCGCGAAAAGGGGAACTTCTTGGGAAACGGTGCGTTCTCCAGCTGCTCCGAGTGAAAGGGAAACCGCTCAATGATGCCCTCATACTCCTCCACATTCTGTACCACCATGGGCAGAAACTGCTCTTTGTCGAGGATATCGCGAAAGACGTGCACCCAGCGCTGCAGCAATACCTGTGCAAAGGAAGTATTCCCCATATTAGGAACTCGCTTGTACTTTAAGGAGGAAAGACCTTACCTCATTGTAGTGGTCCCTCATGTTGTGTAGGAGCTCCCATAGGATGTTCACCGTGTAGCCGTAGCACTTGAATGTATTTATGGACAACATGATCAGGTTTTTAATGCGCAACAGTATGTTGGGATCGGTGCAGGACGACGAGCTCATGCTGATCTCGTTAACGAACTTGGTTAGTGAGTTCGACCAGAGGTCCTCCAGATAACTGTTGGTGACGACGTCGCCGGCTGTGTTCTTAACGTGATCTTCCACCACGAAGAATCCAACAATGGCGCAGATATAGGTCTTGTAGGCCTCCAGGTTGTCGTGCATATTTGGAGGCGGCTGAAGCACCAGCTTGGCCTGGTCTCGACGCTGCTGGCGGTAGTCCTTCTCGAAATACTCCCGCTGTCCCAGCACCATGTAGATGTGCAGGCACCGGTAGATGGGCGAGAAATCTATTAGGTCCTGGGCACTAACATTCGCGCCGTCATCGTCGCCACCATCACCGGCACCAGTCCCTGCTCCACCCGCTCCTCCATTGGCTTGCGTCTGCATATGCTCTGCGATGATGGCGTTAATGTCGCGTTTCTGCAACTGCTTGGTGTGGGTGATGGCCAGCTCACCGATCCTTGGTGAGAACTTTCGTATGTTCTCTAGGAACTCGCGAAAATCTGAGGCGGACGAGCGCCGTATGTTCTCCTTGATGATGGGTATCTGGATCTGCATCTGGGTGGCGAAGCGGTAGTTGTGCGCCTTTAAACGCGCTAGGTGCTCCGTCTCGAGGGTTTCGAGGGTGCGCAAAGCCTGGTAGTACTGCTTGTTTTTGGCCTGCTGTGTAAACTTCATGTAGCACTCGAGAGCCGGCAGACAGGACTTCAGTGCCTCAATAGCACTGGCCAGATTGGACTCAATTTGGCGCGCTCGCACCAAGTCGTTGCCCTGCTGGATTAGCGAGGCACTGATCTGACGCAGCGAGGTGTCCAGCGAGTGCACCTCGTCGTGCAGCTGCTTCGCCTGTGTGCGCACCTGCAGCAGCTCCTGAATGGAGTCGATGAAGCCTTGATAGTACAGGTTGCAGATACGCTCGATCTCCTTGTCATGGCTACGAATCCGCTGGTCCAGCTGCTCGCCAATCTGCTTGCTATTGTTTCCTGCCAAGAAATATAAGAAACATAAATATATATTGAAAATTCTCGGGGCGTAAACAAATCGTGAGATTGGCTTGAAACCTGTGGTTACCTTCTAGAATCGATCGAAATGTGGGTCCCCAGTAGTCATCCACCGCCTCTATATCTTGCACGGTCACCTTGGACATTTTAGGTCGCGCTTTTGAAGGTTTTAAGTGCAATTTTCAAGGAATAATCCAAAAGATATTAATCAGTCGACTGTACAGTGTTGGCTAACAGCTAAGGCGTCCAGTGTTAAATAACACTTAAAGCTCTTCTATGCAACAAGTATTTTGCGTAGGAGAGTGTCATCTCTAAACAGCTGTTTAGCTTTTCGTAATTAAAAATGAACCAATAAAATAACTTGTAAACTAAAAACACCTTAGGGAACGTCTGCCCTGGAATAAATTTATTACATTGCCCAAGTTATTTGCCACATTAGAAATTAGTTTAAGACTAACACAAGTCTGATCGTCCAGAACCGCCTCGATCAGCTGTTGCTTCTCTTAATACCCTTTCTGATAGTACCTCAAGTTTCTCACCCATTGTAAGACGAATAAATTATTTATTTAAGAAATATTTTCAATACTAAAGCTCTTAAGGCTCTTAAATATAAGTTATTATATTTTGGAAATATCGTACTAGTTTGAAATTCCTCTATCTGCTCAATTTAAGTGAAAGTGCCAGCAAGGGTATACATATCTCGACTTGACAACGTTACCTCACTTCCATTCTCGTTCAAACTTTCACTTCGGGTGGCGGTTTTTGAGCATTCCGCTTCTGGTTGGGGCCAAAAACTTGTCGGGGGAGTTACGGTTCCGCAGAAACAGTTATGTTGCAGTAATACTCGTACACGCACGCAATCACGGCCGGAAAATAACTACATATATATAGCCATGGCTACCATACGGAGTCGCCACAATGGAGCTTCTACAACAACGGCGACAGAGGAAGAGCTCCAGACCAGCAGCAGCAACAACAACAATAGCAAGCTGGGAAAGGGAAAGGGCAACCAGGAGAAGAGCGACCCCATGATATACATCATCTTTATATCTCTGCTTTTTGATCTGCTGGCATTCACCATTATTCTACCACTGCTGCCGTCGCTTTTGGAATATTATCGCCAGAATGATACATCCGGCTTGTACGCCGTGCTCACGGAGCGCGTTCGATGGTTTCAGCAGCTCCTCGGAGCGCCTGAGCGGTATATATCGGTGCTATTCGGTGGCTTCCTCGGTTCCATGTTCAGTTTCCTGCAATTTGTGGCGAGCCCGATTGTGGGCGGGCTCTCGGATTACTACGGCAGGAAACCGGTGCTGTTGGTTTGTGCGGTGGGTAATCTTATCCACATACTCAAAGCTTAAATATCTATTTAGTTCCGTTTCCGCAGTCTGGCATCGCCTTGTCCTATCTGATCTGGGCCTGCTCCAGTAATTTCGCCTTGTTCGTTCTGGCCCGCTTTGTGGGCGGCATCAGCAAGGGTAACATCTCGCTGTGCATGTCCGTCATCACGGATGTGTCCAGCGTGAAAACCCGTGGTCGGGGCATGGCCCTGGTGGGCGTGGCCTTCTCGCTGGGCTTCATTGTGGGACCCATGATTGGAGCCCTATTCGCAATATTCTCCGATAAGAGTGGAGGATCTTGGTTTGTGCTCCCCTCGCTCCTTGCCTTTGGTCTGGCTGCAGGCGATCTCCTGGTGCTAGCCTGCTGTCTCCGAGAGACTTTGCCCAAGGTAGGAATCGGCTGAGTGTACATACTGACATTTAAACTAACTTCGGGGCTTATTTCCCAGGAGAAACGTGTTAAGGAGATTTCATCTGCCCTGTCATATGGCCTGCAATTGCTCAACTTCTCGGCCATATTTAGGTAAGTCATGGAATTAATTAGCAAGAGGCGGGAACGTAAACCTGTCGTGTGACCAAGTCGTCTTGCCTGACTGGTTTGAGGAACATTATCATTACCGTGCCAGGTGCCGGGTACTCCGGCACGTTTATTTGATTGTCTTATCAGTGGGAAAGTATGGCTACACATCTGATTAAAGTCTGTTAATGGGAAGGGAAGGTGTCCCGTTCCCTTGAAGACAATCTTTTGATTAGCGCTTGGATTTAGGTTGACCAATCGTATTTCATGTTAATTCTTCTATTGACAGATTCGCTGCTATCAAAAATGTCCCAAAAAAAGACATTGAGGCCTTGCGATCAATTGGACTGATATACTTCCTTTACCTCTTTCTGTACTCCGGCTTGGAGTTCACCGTCACCTTTCTGATGTACCACAAATTTGGGTACACCTCCATGGACCAGGCCAAGATGTTTTTGACAACCGGTATGAGTGTAGCAATACTTAATGTGCTTAAATAAATAAATACTTTTGCAGGTGTTATCATGACATTGCTGCAGGGATCGGTGGTTCGTCGCCTCCCCGAGGCAAAGATCAAAGGCTATGCCATTTTTAGTCTGTACCTGATTGTCCCGGCCTTCGTATTAGTTGGCCTGGCCGAAAGCAGTCGATTGCTCTACGCCGGCATGATCCTCTTTGCCATCTCAACGGCCTTCGCTGTTACCTGCCTCACCACCCTGGTGTCCAAGTATGGCAATGATGACCAGAAGGGTTCAGTATTAGGCATTTTTCGCTCCCTAGGAGCTCTTGCTCGGGCGTTGGGTCCCGTGGTGGGCAGTATTGGTGAGTTGGATTTACTACGCCCGGTGTTGTTTTTCTAATCATTCCGAATCCCTACAGCTTTCTGGTGCGTAGGCTCAAAGATCACCTATATAGCCGGTGGACTTCTGCTCATTTATCCAGCCTTGGCCTTGCAGCGTGTTCGCATTTAGATGCAATAAGCACAAAGTGAATTAACCATTTTAGAGAACAACGCAAGTATTAGTTGCACATTATACTTAATTTATTGTTTTATATACAAGTATTTTATATTAAAATTATTAAATTTTATACTCTGTTTATACAAAACAAATGTTTTTCATTGGGCGAAAATTAGGGTCTAGTCTAAATTATATTGTCATGTCAAAAACTTACAATAAAATAATTGGAAAGAAGCTTTTTAATGCTAAAAAAAAGTAAGGAATTTTTTAAAAACTTCAAAGCCTAGGAATGCATTGACTTTGGAATCCTCAAGTAATTCTAGCTGAAAATCGGGAGAGATAATGATAGGATAGTGCTTTGTCCCAGAATGTTATAATTTATCTTTTATATTAATACCTTGTCAAAAGGTTGTTTTGTAAAGAATATTAAATAATTGTGTATAAGTGATTTACCACTATAACGTATATATTTATAAATATATTAATACATTAATTATGTTTTAAAATGAACAAGGTATCTATTTTTTTTTAGTTTTAAATTATTAATGGAATGGTAAAACCAAAAGAGAAAAGACTTCAGGAAACAATAAAAAAAAAAATCGTTATTTTTTAAATACATATTTATACGAAACATTTATAAATTTATGGTATATAAATAGTATTTCTCGATACTAAAAATGGTATTTAGTGGTATTTATTGCGAGGCCAGATGGTATTTTTAATCGTTATCGGCGCCATACTGCTGCCAACTTCACGCCGTATATTTGGGGAGTGACTAAGTTTCGTGTAAGAGAAAATTATAAATAAATGCGTTAAAAACAGCTGCAATTGTCAAATTGTTACTGCACTAGTTGTCGCTGACATTCTACCAGACGGCGCGACCGCATTGGTGCTGGAAACACAGGACATTCCACCGAATACTGATATACATTTTTCTCTTTCTTTACAACACAACTACTACTGCAAAAAAAAGTGTAAAAAGTGTGTGAGCTACGACAAACGCATAAAGAAATCGGCGGCGCGCAGGTTATTGGATTTCGTTCATAAATCGGACGGAGTAACAAGGATAAGGATACAAATCGAAACGAATTGAGCTAGCGACGACAGCAAAACAAATTCGAAGAAAATGGGAGCTAGAGAAGACGAGTACGATTATCTGTTCAAAGGTAATTATAAACATGACACTGCCGGTGGCTGCAGATCGGCGGAGGTAGAGGTAAAGGTGGGGAGGAGTAGCGGCGGCCCTCTCTCCCTCCCCAGTGCCTGGACACAATGACGCAGTGGTTCAATGGCACTAATTGAAACTAATTGGAGAATAACAGAAAGTGCAGTCGAAAACCCAGAGTTCATGTGCTGGTATGTGTGTGAGTGCTAGTGTGTGATTAATTCCCAAAATAAGTCCAAGAAGTACGCCCCCCGAGTTGGTTGGTGTTGCTGCTTCCCGTGCAGTTGGATGCCCTTTGACGGCTCTCTCACGCTCCCGCTCTCTCTTTGGGGCCTCTTCCGGAATCAAGTACATTGCCGTTAACTGTCTGTTTTGTCATTACGTTCCCGTTGCTCTCGCCACGTTGCATGCAAAAGCCAACGCAAATCGTATTTATAATAGCGATAAAAGTTCCCTCTTCCAGCGGGGAGTACTTTTGAATGCTTAGCCACCCACTCACATTCTTAAATTGATTAGATTTCAAGTTAGTACCACGAGTGAGAGTGTAGGTATTATTACTTCTGTACAGCTGGCTCTTGCATTGACTTTTTTTGTAATTTCTTTGCATCTGTTTACGGCTCTCTCGCTCTCCAGCTCTCCCTCTATCTTGGTGTTGAAACCTCAGTTGGGAGTTTGGCACAGTGGGCCGCATTCGATCCCCTTTGCTCTAAAGCCTCAGCTTCCCACATCTTTTGCGTTCTTTGTATCACTTCTGTTTATGTTCGGGGTCGTCAATTCTCTGTTCTTTTTTGTTCTCTTCGTTTGCTACTACGCCGCAAATTCCAATTGCGCTTAAAAAAAGACTATCACAGCTGAGCTTTAGTCTGAGCAACTGTTGAATGTCATTAACGGGTTATCTCAATTATTCATTTGAAAGAATTGAAATGTTCGTTAATTTTATAATCAATCAACCTCAATATTTTTATTTACCAACCATTTCATATAAATCCACCCAGTGGATGTGTTTTTTTGTCTCAAATTCGTAACCCCTTATCTTGGCAAGTATTTTTAGGTCAAGTATCCAAAATGTAAAAACAGAAAAAAAAACACCATGTGCATGTGTGAAATGTGTGAGTGAGTGACATGCATGATGAGGCCTCGAATTTCACACATAACGATATTGGCCAGGCATGACTCATGCACGGAAACCAACTGTCGAAGAATTCCGCTCGGGGCGATAAGCCCATAATCACATCATAACCAATGTGAGGCTCTATACGAGCGATTCGTACCATTGAAACTAGCCAGTAATGACGACGGCCTCCATTTGCTACTCCCTTTTATTAGCCGGCACCGTCCGATTAACTAAGTGCCATTTCTCTTTGAGGATCAGGTCAGAAGTCGAGCTAAAGAGAAAAGTGACTCATGGCCTCTCTTTCTCTTGCCGATAACTGTAACCAGGTCGCTCTTAACTGACCAGTAAAGCAAAGAGAGTAAAGTGTTTGAAGGGTTTTTGTTATTGTTTTGCCTGATTGGCAAACACACCGCTTTTATGACAAGTTTATCCGTTCCTATGGACGTATTTGTCCTTTTTATAAAAAAAAATAATTGTTTATTATACGTTAGCAGGGTGTTATAGTTTTAGTCAGAAGTAATTTCCTGTAATTCGAACACTTAATTCTCGATCAGCACTAACAGCCGATTCAATCAATTCTTGTCCGTTTGAAAGAAATGTATCCCTGTTATTATAATTTTATAGGGTTTACTTTACTAAATTGTCAAGAATTCACTGGATTTTTTTAAAATTCATTATGCCAATGACCCAATAAAAACTTACACAGAAAAGCTTTCCGAACTAAGAGTTGGCTTAGTTATGATCAATTTCAAATTTCTCAGAAGTAAGATGTTAATAATAATTAAATTGATATGTATAAAAGTTTAGGTCTCCATTTCTTGATTGATATATGGATGCAATAATTAATTAAAACGACAAGTATGTACATAATTTATAGAAAGAGCTACAGCTTATAGAGTTTATTTGCCTTGGCCAAAGTCATGTCACTCAGATAAACCATAAATGTTTGCTCTATCGATATAGAGCACAATAAACATTCCACAAAGCACAAAGCTCCCGAACGTCCGCTCCTCCCTTAAGCATAAGATATTTGTTTCCATGGCCTCAAGTCCCTCGAGTATAGCGGCTTTATGTACACGCTGACCTTGGGGCGCCACTCCAGCAGCGAAGCCCACGAAGGGGGACATGACCTATTCGAGCCAACAGCTACCAGCTAACAGCCTGTCCGACCGTAAAAACACAGGACACGGGGTGGAGTCGCCCCCAAACCAAACCACACACCGCGCCCACCCACATATTATGCAACTGGGACACTTCGATTGTCCAATGCCAATGCCAATGGCTCGAAAATCGCTAATGCTTTGTAATCCTTTGCAGTTGTCCTTATCGGTGACTCTGGCGTTGGCAAGAGTAATTTGCTCTCCCGTTTCACGCGCAATGAATTCAATTTGGAGTCGAAGTCGACAATTGGCGTGGAGTTTGCAACGCGCAGCATAGAGGTGAGTATAGCAGGAGGTCAGGGAGCACCCACGCCTGTGTGCTTCACGGGTGAGGTTGCGTGTGCGTTTCGCCGGGAGGTAGTAAGCATAGTGATGGCAAAATCGAGGAGCAACCTAGGGGGTAAGCAGTCAATTTCAGTAAGTGTCTGGGAAATTCACTAAATAAAGGATTGCCAATTGGTTTTCTTTCATAATTTATGAAGCCATCGAGTTGGGGGATAAGCTAAATGTTGACATCATCGTCACCAGTTGAGTGTCATTAAAAGTAAAAGTTCAAGTAGGTTTCAAGGCTCACTTTAAATTTGATTAAAAACTTTTAATTATTTTTTTTTAAGACAACCGGAAAGGTATGCTTTTATTAATTATTCGCACAGACTGAGTTTTATTTGTTCCTAGAGGTTGCCATCACTGTTTCTGTCGAATTTGTTTATTGATTTTTTAAGCGAAACAGCCGCAAGGAGACAAGGATAACTTGGCGAAATTGCCAATTACTGCCACCATTCAACTAACGCTCCTTCTATGTCCTTCTTCCCACCCCACATCACTTCACTCAATGCAGGTCGATGGAAAAACAATTAAAGCGCAAATCTGGGATACGGCCGGCCAAGAACGTTATCGCGCCATCACCTCTGCCTACTACCGCGGTGCTGTGGGAGCTCTGCTCGTCTACGACATCGCCAAGCATCTGACGTACGAGAATGTAGAGCGGTGGCTGCGGGAATTGCGCGACCATGCCGACCAGAACATCGTCATCATGCTGGTGGGCAACAAGTCCGACTTGCGGCACTTGCGCTCCGTTCCCACAGACGAGGCGAAACTGTTTGCCGAGCGCAACGGCTTGAGTTTCATAGAAACCTCGGCCCTCGACTCGACGAACGTAGAAACGGCATTCCAGAACATACTCACAGGTGAGTTGTCCTTACCGCTAAGAATTGTTAAATATTAAACAAAACCAATTTATATCCCTTATGTGACCTCAGGCGATAGTTAAAGATAAGGGACATATTGTTAATGGATTCACTTCTTTGTCTTTCAGAAATCTATCGCATTGTGTCGCAGAAACAGATCAGGGATCCGCCGGAAGGCGACGTCATCCGTCCGTCGAACGTGGAGCCCATCGACGTCAAGCCGACTGTCACCGCCGATGTGCGCAAGCAGTGCTGTCAGTGACCGCCCCAAGCAACATTAGCTATTCCCCGCAACCGCCAGAACAGCAACATAAACAATAGCAACAGCAATTACAACTACAACAACAACAACATCAACATCAGCAGCAATAACAACCAGAACAACAGCAAGATTAGAAGCAGCAGCAGCGAAGATCTGGTGAAGAGAGGCATTGGGAGGAGTTTTTGTGTTTTTTAATTAGAAAAACAGCCACTTGCAGTTTGTCATAATATTTGCATATAAATTGATGAATCAAAATCAACAAAAACACCACCATCACCAACACAACACCAACAGCAGCAACAGAATCGAAAACAACATCCGGCTGTAGTTAACTGCGGTTTAAACTGAAGTTTTATATATATATAAAGATTTAAAGAAATATCGCATAAATCGATCGCCGCGATCGTCAATGCCTGCAAAAATAAACAAAAACAAAAAGTGGAAAGAATATAAGCAAAAAACTAAACACTCCAAATTCAGTTTAAGCTGTAGAACTATAATTTATATAAATATAAATATATGCTAATATTAAAAATATTAATATTATTAATTTTTCGCAACATAAATAATAGTTATAAACAACCGGAAGGAAATTCTCGATAATGATGCAAACTCATTTCCAAACCAAAACCACACTGCGCAGCTCGCGGCAAGCAATTTTGCGGACTTTTTTCAGTTTTTACTTTTACCTACATTTTCAAGAATTGGTAAAATCAAATCAAATCAAACAGCAACAGTTGTAAAACTTTAAATGCATACATGAAACGAAAATCACATCATTTGTGTTTGCTATGTTAAGTGTGATTAAATAAATATAATTTAAATAAAAGAAAATCACTGTCGGTTTTTTTGTTAGTTTGAAACGAACGGTACGTTAAATTAGAGTGGCCAGACTGTCGTGCTAAGCGAGAGGCCGCTTGAGCAACAGTTTGGTATTCTGGGCTGCCGCAGCCACACTGATCTTAGCACGTGCAGAAGGAAGAAACAACTTGGACAAAACATGGGACGCGGCAACAAGAAAGTGCATCCAAAGTCCCGTACGGCCGCCTTCAAGGCCAGTGAGCCGAGCGAGATTGTCGAGGCGCCCCACTCCTTCGTCATCCACCGCGGCCTCACCTGCCCGTACATCACAGACCTCACGCTGGACTTCAGGCGTATTATGGAGCCGTATACGGCTACTAATCTGCGAGAGAAACGGATGAACCGCATCAAGGATTTTGTAAGCTTGAGCAGCTTCTTCCATGTCTCGCATATGGGCATCTTCAACAAGGCCTCCACGCAGCTGTCTTTCAAAGTGGTCCGTTTGCCGCGCGGTCCCTCCCTGACTTTTAAGGTTTGCCACAACTCTATTAATCGGATTGTTCCGAATAATTCAAGCCCTCCCCCAGGTTCATCAGTTCACGCTGGCCCGCGACGTGATCTCGTCCAGCAGGCAGCAGATGATCGACAACGACCACTTCAAGCATCCCCCGCTGGTCGTCATGAACAATTTCACCGGCGATGGCAAGCATCTGAAACTGATGGCCACCACGTTCCAGAACATGTTTCCCTCGATCACCCTGACCAAGGTGAACATTGGAACAATCCGTCGCTGTGTCCTGTTCTCCTACACTCCGGAGACGAAGCTGGTGGAGATGCGACACTACTCGGTGCAGGTGGTGCCCGTGGGCATGAAACGAGCTGTGAAGAAGATAGTAAAAGGCGCTATTCCGCATTTGGGAAAGTGCACCGAAGTGGTGGATTTTGTGACAAAGTAAGAAAATCCTATGTGATTTCACAGGAATTTCCTAATACATATGTATATATTTTGCAGAGATGGATTCGCCTCCGAATCAGAGGCCGAGGATGACGAACAGTCGCACGTGGTGCTCGCACAAACGCTCAAGAGCAAGGGCAACCTGGAGGACAACAAGAGCTCCATCAAGCTGCACGAAATCGGGCCGCGTCTAACCATGCAGCTAATCAAAATAGAGGACGGACTCCTCACTGGCGAGGTTCTGTACCACGATCATGTGGTAAAAACGGAGGAAGAAAAGGAAACGATGCGCAAGCTGGTCGAGAAGAAGGCGAAGCAGAAAGAGCAGCGCAAGAAGGAGCAGGCGGAGAACCGGGCTCGCAACATACAACTTAAGAAGGACGAAAAGAGGGCGGCTAAACGGGCAGAGGAGGGACACAATGACAGCGATCCCGAAGATGATGCCGAGTACTACAAGGAGGAAGTGGGCGAGGAGCCAGATGAAGGTGAGTGTGTGTAACTCTTTTCAGTTGAATGCGGCTAAGGATGTGTTTTTGTGTTTGCAGAACTCTTCAAAATGGAAGCCAAGTCCTCGCGCAAGCGACCCAAGCTGCCCGGCGGCATGAAGTTCAAGAACAAGCGGGCCAAGCTGGATCCCAAGAGCAAGAAAACCAATGGCAAGCCAAACGACTACAAGGACAGGAGGCCCAAGTTTGATCCCAAAAAGAGTAGGAAGTCAAAGTAGTACTTTAAATATAAGCTATTTTATAAACAGACCACTTGTCGGTTGGCTGAGATAATGGTAACAATGAGAACTAGCTGAACATACGCTGTACCACCTCCTTGTAGTGGGTGTTGCTATCCTTCCAGCTGGCAGCAATGTTGTCCCGCAGCTTGCTGAACTCGCGCTTCTCCTCGTAGTTGGGCACCCGCTCGATGGTGGCCTGTGCCTTGGCAAACTCCTTCAGGTGGTAGAAGGCCAATGCGCGCCGGTAAATGCTTTTCTCACTGGGACTCTCCGCCGTTTCCACGAATTGCGTGTGGTAGATGACGTGCTCGTAGCGCTTCTCCAGCAGCAGGCAGGCGGCCAGGTTGGTCTGTATCTGGATAAAGAGCTCCTCGACTGTACTTCCGTTAATGCCGTTCTCCCTCTTGGTCAACTTGTCGAAGGGTTTGTATGTGATCAGCAGCTTTGCGGCCCGCGCAAAGTAATCAAATGCGAATTTCGGATAGGATTTGAATGTGGCCACGCCACTCTCCTTGAGACGCAGCGCCAGGTCATACATACCCGCTGCGTCCAGCTTCTCCACCTGCGTGTTCTTCACTATCTTGTCCAGTCTCATCTCGAACTCGATCCGAACGCCATTTTTGGTCAGGATGCTGCAGGCGGCTGTTTCACCGGGAAGGAACTGCTGCAGCAAAATCTCGACATAACAATCCACTGGGTACACGGCTCGGCCCATTTCCAGGGAGTGTTGTTGAGGATACGCCGTGGTTTCATCGCTCGCCAAGTACTTGCTGGGCCGCTCACCCAAATTGGCGCATTTCTTGTTGACACTGAACTGCAAGGTGCTGCACGCCGTTGGCTTCTCCATGTCGCTCAGCTGGAAGGCAAGCACTTTCTTGGTAAGGCCTCGGCCTTTATCCTCCCATTCTGTGCCCACATACCAGTCCATCGTGGAAGTTTAAAGCGAAAAAAAGGATCGAGGAAATAGTTAAAAGCTATTTATTTCGCCTTAGGTTCTTCAGAGTGACCAGGTGGTGCACGGGAAATCAGGCTAAACTGTCACTGACCCACTAAAAATCCAATAATACATCATTTCCACTAGTTCAAATAGCAAAAATTAAATGTGTGAAGTCTGTTACTAATTCAAATTTTAAAGAAGACCTCTGTAAATACCCAATACTACACAAATGTATTATTTATTTTGTAACATCAAATTACTGAAATCTTAAGTTAGAACACTATATTACATATGCTATAACCATAAAGAAAGCTAATTTCGAAACAATTAAACATTTTTCTTATTCATCTCTAGACCTTTTTAGGAACGTTCTTAAATTAAAAAAATCGTATAATCGTATAAAATAACTATACTTTATGCTGAAAAAACCAAAAGTAATATTAAATTTCATTACATTTTCCTATACTTATTATATTTACAGTTTGAAAGATACAGGTTTACATTCGCAGCTTTAAATTTTCTCTTCATCTATGATGATATTGGTGTCAGATTAAAAAAAATTAAAACCGTACTTCTGAAATAATAAAAAAAAGCTCATATCTCAGAGTAGATCAAAATACGTTGAAAAACAACAGAGTTATAATTTTTTTGTATTAGTTTTCCGATCGTTCCATATAGCAGCTATATGATATAGTCGTCCGATGTGCATAAAATTAAAACCCAAATTTTGAAATAATATAAAATTACCATATCTCGAAGAAGATGAAAAAAACGTTAAAAAACAGCGAAGTTATAATTTGGTTTTCTAAACATTTGTTGATTATTTCTATGGCAGCTATATGATATGTCGTCTGATCCGACACGCAGTGAGAATAGTCAGAAGACTATATGTAAAGTTTCGTTTGGGCAGGTTCAAAACAGAGAGACTAGTTTGCGTAGAAACGAACAGACGGGCATAGCTAGATCGATACGGCTGCTGATCTAGAATAAATATACTTTATAGGGTCGGAAATGACTCCTTTACTGCGTTTCAAACTTCTGACTTAAATTATAATACCCTGCAAGGGTATAAAAAAGACTTATTTCGGGGTATATGGAATTAAAAACATCAAGACTATTATTTTTAACCATATTTCCATAAATTATGGTGTGCTGATCATACACATAAATACATATGTATGCATGTACCTGCAATAAAAAGTAAGTACAATTTTTGTACTACAAATCGGGAGCAAGAGCTGAGGATAAACACAAAACTCCCTCCCTGCTTAACTTTAGGAATATTACGAGGGGATAAGGGAGCCCAATTTGCTTTGAAATATAAAACGGCAGCTCCTTTAGCATTTATACACAATTTATTATTATTTCTAGTTATCTGTTACCTATACTAAGCCCATTCGCACAGCAATTCGCAGTTGCTCAGCCATCGTTTAACAAGCTGCTCTCTTTCCACCAACAGTTTCGCATAGTATTTCGCAGAGTATGTGTTCATATTTCAATCAACTTGCCGTTGTTAAAGTAAAACGTTATGTACATACATTAGTTAACGCGGAAGCGGCGGGGATCGTCATCCGGATCACGTATAGCATCGTAACTTAACTTACACATAGCAATACATATTTAGTAAAAGTATCTGTTGCATACATTAAATATATATATATATATATATATATATATGATGAAACGTCCTGGAAATTTTGCTATTTACTACATACATCTGTGTATTTCTAGAGTCTATAGGTATAATTATGGTTCAATCAAGGAATCGGTTACATATCGATTAATTTTGTTCAATCTTCTCCCCGAATAATTTCAATTACCAATTGCAGACGCAGACACGGGTCAACCACAAGTCTTTCATTCATTTAAATTATTTGTATTTTGCATTTGGGGTAACTTAGCTTACAATTGCCAATAAAATACTAGGCTTAAGTTTAAACTTTACAATTAACACAAACATTAGGCAATAGGCATGCTAAAATAGGTTACAAATGTGCAAACTGATGCTCTTGCTTGCCAATTTCAATGAAGCAACTCTAACTAACATTTATGCTAAAGACTGAACTCTCTTCGCTGGCCGTCCTGCAGATTCCAGTTGCCTCGCAGCTGACAGTTCACGCGATTCTGGCTTGTGTATTTGAGCTAAAGAAACACTTAAAGTAACGCCCGATCGATTCGAGGACTACTGACCCTTTGATTAGTATTACAGCGCCTAAGTAACTAATACAAAAGTTTCGTCTCTTTATATTCTCATATTCGTACATGACAAACAACCTAACAGCCAGTTTTGCAAAAATATTTTCGTGTTTTCTATATATACGCCTTTTGCTTTTATTGTTGTTTGCTTTATAACTTCATTTTAATCTTATTCCATGTGTGTGTGTGTGTGCCTGTGTGGATGTAGTTGTGTGTGTGTGTGTTGAGTGTGTGTGGGTGTGTGATTGTAAAATAGACGCTCAGAGATCGCTGTAACTTGGATTCCAAAATTGTTGTATGTTTTTACGCTGGCTACCTTCATTCATCATAATCATCAATATTCTCAACATCATCTAAATCATAGTCCAGGTCCTCCTCCAGCTCTGGGTCGGAGGAACCTGAACCTGAACCCGTGATAGAGCCCGAGCCATCGGCAGCATCCTGATGCCTAACATATCCCCCCATAACAGCCCCAGCATCATCTCTCGAAATCTCGTCCTCGAAATCGCCATCTCTGTCTTCATCTCCATCCCCATCGTCCTCGTCCTCGTCGTCGTCGTCGCTCGAGGGTATTAGGTTCAACTCGCGCAGCTGCCGTTGCACGAAATGTTAATGTTCCATCAAGGCCGCTGTAAAAGCAGGAACAGAAACACAGAAAAGAAAACGATATTATGCATACATAATTCAAGAGATCAATGAATGAAGTGAAAGTTCGGCATCACTTACGTGACGGTGTGCGTCCGGCCTTGTTCTCATTGGGTGTGAAATTTAGAAAGTCCCAAATCACAATTGTATCATCGTGCGAGCTGCTCACAATCTGGAACTCGTCGAATTGCAAACGAAAGACGCGACCAGTATGTTCCTATAAAAAGGAGAGGGTTCATTTAGTAGGAAGTTAATCTAAAGGTTACTGAGTGGACACTCACCACAAGCGTATTCAGGCAGAGTGTATTAGAGGCTGCCCTCGGATCCAGGGCTGCCACCAAATCCCACACCTTGATCTTGCCGTCATAGGCGCCGCTAACGATTCGCTTCGTATCGAAACGGATGCAGCGAACCAGCTCCTCGTGCCCCTCCAGGACACGGAGACAAGCACCACACTCGATATCCCACAATCTGCAATATAAATGAATAATAAGTACACCTATATTTACGAAACACGCGTCTTCCAACCTTATGGAATTGTCTGAGCTGCCGCTGACTACCAGCCGATCCCTATACTGAAGGCAGGCGATGCCACGCTTGTGGCCATTCAAGGTGCGCACGAATTCACAGCTCGAGGTGGACCAGACCTTGATGGTGCGGTCCCCGCTGGCGGACACAATATACTTCTCATCAAAGTCAACCACATTGACGGCAGCCCGATGGCCGACGAGAACGCGGCGCAGAGTTATCTCGCTGGGCGAGGTCATGTCCCAGACGGCGATGGAGCGGTCCTTGGAGCAGGTCACCATCATGCCGTTGTTAAAGCGCAAATGCAGCACCGCCTCGCAGTGATGGATGAGGGTGTTGACCATCTCGCCGGTATTTACGTCCCATACCCGGACTGTGGAGTCGCTGGATCCACTGATGATTACCTTGTCGTCGTACTGCAGGCACAGCACTGAACCAGTGTGGCCAATGAGGGTCTGTAAATGAGCAAGAGCCGTGGTTAGGTGCTGATTCCCAATGGCGTGTATCTCAGACATCCTACCTTGACGCACTGCAGATCCGTGCGATCCCAGATTTTGATAGTGTTGTCCCGGAGCCCGGATACAATCTTGCCATCGTCGTACTGCAGGCAATAGACACCCTTCGAGTTCTCAGACCGGCAATTGATGCGGTGCAGCATGTGGCCACCAATTCGCCAGTTATTCTCTATGCTGTCAATGTCCTGAAAAAAAAGGAATATAAAAGTCAAGGCTTGGTGAAGGTAAAACTACGCGCAGTCACCACTCACATTCATTATCTTGGGGAACAGCTCGCGATGGAATGAGTGTGGCCGTTGGGTCTGGCCCGGTCTTGGCTTGAACAGATACTGCATCCAGTTGCGCCGCTCGGCAAGTCCACGCCACAACGAATCTGTTCGCACCTTGCGCTCGATGAGCTTCTTCCACAACATCCCCTCGGATATGACCCGCAGCCATTCCTTGCAGACCAGCTCCGCGGATTTGAGCGATTCGGCATCCAAGTAGGACAAAATGTTCTCGGCAATGTGATCAAGGCCTTTGACTGAAAGGAAAGCATAAGTAAAATCATGTTTATTAATAATTTCGGTGAAGGGGATGTAAAACTGCCCACTTTTCAAACAAATTTTGCGAAACTGCTTAAGTTAGCTTAATGAATTAAATACCATATAATGACACAAAATTTAATATTTATTTAATTGTATTAAAAAATATTTACAAGTCTACGAGAAATAGGGAATCTCCTGAGTTCCTTTTAAAAAGTTGATTTTCGGTGTATTCCCTTACTGTCTACAAAAACATGCTATTTCAAAAAAACTATAATCCATTAGTTAAAGGAAAATGTCCCGAGGTACTCACATAGCGTTCTTATTTTTAACATTTTTTCCGATATTTTATCAAAATTCAAAGTCAAAACTAGATTTTTTGAGGAAAAATATAGTTCATTTCTTAAATAAAAAATATAATAAATTTTAAATTTAAAAACCCAAATGTATTGGGGTAATAAATATGAGTTTTTTTTTATAAGAGGGAGGGAAAGTGACTTTATTTTAAAAACTAAATTAAATGTTTAGTTATATTTCCTTTTTGAGATTTTAGATTTAAATAGAAAATAAGCTTATAATAATTCCGAAAAGAATTACGCCTTATTGTGTCCGTAACCGGGAATTCCAAAGATCGAGGAGGAGGAGCTGCTGCATACAATATTCCATAGGTCCGTCATTCTTTCAAATATTATTTACAACAAATTTTGTATTATCTATTCCACTTATTTATCGAAATCGGTGGACAGAGAAGTTATAAACAATGTTTTCGAATGGTTCACAGGTTCAAAAACAAACAAAAGAGACAATATACACACAATTGCACGAGAAAAACTGGATATTTTAGATATTTACGATTGATGTTTTGATTAAATAATTATTGTCTAGATTACTAGAAATCAAAATGGAACCTTTACTTTTAAATTATGCAGCTAGGTTCCTAACACAAAACGTTTTTAAAAATTTGACTTCTATTGTTCAATATATGTACAGATATTTTATACATTATAATAAATTAAAATCGGTTTACTGAGTTATATTTCCAGCTGGAAGGTTTGCTGAAGCAAGATTTCTCTTTTGTTTTCAGTAACTTTTCAGTAGGTTAATGTCCTTAAGTCCATTGAACTCTATTTAAAAGTATTTAGTGGCTTATACATACAATCCCCAGTCCAATTTCAATAAAATAGCCTACCAAAGGTTAAATATACATATATGCATGATCACATTTAACAACCCCTTTTTATTTAAACCAGATTAACAACATAAAATTACAAATAGGTTTATATTTTTGCTGTTCGAAAATGTTCCTAGACTTTTTTTTGCGATAGTTATACTACCCATATAAAAAGGATGTAATGCTTCTTTTATTAGTTCTCTTTGTGGACAAGTTAGTGACTAAGCCCGGTGCTATTTATAGTCGACACCCAGTTATCTCCGATATGACACATGACACAATGTGCCATCAGATATGGAGTAACTTGAGGTGGAGCAGACGAAACTGCTGCTGCAGCTGCCACTCTTGTCAGACACCCACTCGCCAAGCCAAGCCAAACCAAAGCCCAAAGCCCAATGCCCAACCCAATCCCAATCCAACCACTCGGCGCCCGTCATCAGCCGACAAACAAGAGAGACAAAATGATGCACCTAACGGCATTAAAATGCACTTAGCCCAGTAAGTGGGAATGGGAGTGGCAGTGGCGGAGGCGCAACCAATAGACCGGCATATTTACATGTGTCTTCTGCGCACACACGCAGCAGGCAGCGCCTCGGAGAGTGCTTGGTGGGGGTTGGCCTCCTCCACCACCACCTCCATGTACATGTACATCTCCATCAGCATTGACAAACGGGCTGGATGGGCCAGGCTAGGCCTCGCCAGACTAGAGTCTGAAGTGCATGCGAGTGGTCCCTACTACCTTCAGCTCCCTTTTCTCGTTCGCTGCATTTGCCAAACACAATTAAAAATGTGCATAACTCGCAAATGGCAGGCGGTTGGCGGGCGGCAGCGGCGATTTGGCTCAAGTTGTTTGCCGTCGCCGGCGACTAACGGTCTTGAGAGTGTGTCTATTCGTCGTCTGTCTGTTTGTCCCACTGTCTGTTCTTCAGTCGCTCTATTCCCCCGGTTAGCTGCCTTTGAAGTGCATTACAATGTAAATGGAGGAGACAATGTTGTCTACTTTCAACTCTTTTTCGTTTCGTTCCCTAGAACCATCAGTGATGCCAGCAAATCGTTAAATATAGCAGGAATAAGGAGCAAGTTAGCTAAACCCATAGAATAGGGGTGACTTAAATTCCAATTTTGTTCTACATCTTGGACGCAATGCTCTAAAAAAAAGGGTACACTTGAAAATGTTGCTAAAGTGTATCACCTCTAAAAGGGTTGGTATTACAACCAAGAACAAGGAGGACACTAGCTAGGGGTTATGGCAACGGAAACCACTGACAAGTTCCTTAAGGGGGGGGTAAGGTATTTAATTTTTTTTTCGTAAATTTTTTTTTATTTTTTATTTTTAAGTTCAACATCTTAAGAATATTGTGTCCAAGTTTTACATCGATCAGAGTAAAATTGACGAAGTTATGCGGAGTTGAACGAAGGTCGGTTGGTGTTCAATGCATGGGAATCACAAAGTTTAAAGCGCTCTCCTGAAAAATTCAATTTTTCAAATCGGTGTACACGATTACAGAAAAACTACTGGACCGATCGATTTGAAATTTGGCACACACATTCTTTAACTAATTCCTCAGGTATTCACGTCGGCCTTTTTTTAATTTTTAATTTTTATATATTTTTAAATTAAGAAATAACGTTTTTTTTTTTAGTCAAAAATCGGGTTTTTGACTTTCAAATTTCATAAAAAATCACAAAAAAACTAAAAAAAAAAAACGCTTCGTGAATACCTCGGGACACTTATCCTTTAACGAATGAGGTATAATTTTTTTAGATCGGATGATCCTGTGGACTGTTAGGATGTACACCGCAAAACAACTTTTTTTGGAGGCGACTCTGGAGATTCCCTATAACTTCTCTACCTCTAAATATTTTTCAATACAAAATTTATCAAAAATTATTCAAATGTTGTGTTATTATATGGTATTTAATTCATTAAGCTAACTTTAGCCGTTCCGCCACAATAATTTTTTGAAAAGTGGCCTTTTTTGCACCGAATTAACCTTACCCCCCCCTTAAGGAATCTACTATCCCTGCCAGTCTGTTGGTGCAAGGAAAGAATATACAGCAATGTTTCCCAATTGCATTCTAACAGACAATCAAGAGGAACATGCTTTATAAGGTCGGTAAGAAGAGAACCAATAAGTGTTTAAAATAAATAAACAAAAGTACAATGCACGCACAACTCATTCTTGTTGAGTATTTGAGTCACCAATATACATTTATACACACGTTCCTACCCGATCCGATGCATACATAAACGTTCGCTTATTCACCAAAATCCGATCGGACTCATTGCATGCCCGTTAGTCGTCGATCCTACACAATCAGCGTCCCAGAACTTACTTGCCCAACAGTTTTGATTTTGATTAGCTGGCCACAATTGGCGGCAAAATCGATTCACATTTTCTTATGAATAAAATACAAGGCTTGCTGCTCCGCTCCGGTTTTCGTTTTGTTTGCTGTTCCGGTAAAGCGCGTTTAATGGAAGCAACGACCTTTCAGTCAACAGTTAATACAGCCAACAGCCCTGGCCCACCCACTGGCTCCTCTCCTCCACCCTCTGCTCCGCCGGAACCCTGAATGAATGGCACTGGGATCTGGGACCGTACGGGAGCGAGCCACCTTTCATGTTGTTCAACTTTGTACCTGCCGCGTTTGTTATTGTTTTCAGTCATTGCGTGCCGAGGGATTAAAACTCTGGGTCTCTGTGTTCTATTCGCTATTAACACGGCTAAGACTTGGCTTGTGCAAGGAATGCTGCTCCCGGCTTGAGCTTTGCCTTGGCTTAAAGATGAGTTTACCCCGGTGGCTGTATCTTCACCACTGGCTTATCAGCGGCTAACAGGCAGTCTCTTTAACCATCAGGGGGTAGTGACCTCTCGCACAAAGTATGACATTGATAACGCCTGTGTGACGTAACGGACGGACCACCCCGTTGATCTTTGGCTAAGCAGCTGACGAATTATGTTTGATTTGATTAAGTTTTAATGATTTAATAACCTAAATATTAACCTTAGCCCCTGAAAACTAACCAATTAAAAGATTAAATGAAATGAAAGATTTCCAATAAACTCGGCACTGAATCATAAAAATTGTATATGTTTCATTAACATCTTTTTAATTACAAGCTTAAAGAAAATTAAAAAATTAATTCAAATTAGACAAAATTCTTTTTCTGCAGTTAAATGTATTATTTTTTAAGTACACAGATTTTGGTACAGAAAAAAATTTTTAATGAGGAAAAAAAATTGCTTTGTTGAAGGTTTGAGGCAACATCCATTATTTACCATAGCTTAACAAGACTCTCATAGATAGCAACTAATTTAAGTATGTATGTATATCCAAGGGTATTCAAACTTTGACCTCATGCTAACCTTGATTTTTTTTAAATTATAAACTAAGACAAACGAAAGGTACTAAAGGTGTAATTATTTATTTAAATATACAGGGCAACATTCCTTCCCAGACACCTTAAAAAAACTAACGTTTCTGCCACCTCATTTAGCTATCTTACAACATTTTATCAATCGCACCGATTCTTAGAACTTCCTTCCAATTAAAACCCTGGACGATTTAATGTTCCCCAGAACCAAAATCATACCCCAAAACCTCTCACTTATCTCGTTTAGTAGTCTATATTGTATCTTAATATTGGTACTCACTCGGCAGCAATGTGATAAAGTCTCGCTGGAGCATCGGCTTCAGATACGCATTGATCTGGCCGTGCTGATAGTGACACATGCGCGACAGCAGCTGCTCCACAAAGTCTACCTGTCCCGACTCGCTCCACTGGGTGAAGTACTGAAAGCAGAGTTCCCGCTCTGTCTGGTACGTGGGCGAGGAGTCTTTCTTGCGCACCGGGTCGTACAGCATGGTGGTTGTGAACTGTGCGGAGAAATAGAGAGATGGGCAAAACGGGGGCGATTAATTATGATATTGCATTCGGTTGGTGATGATATATGTAGTAAGTAGTAGCTAGTATGTGGATGGATGTCAAGGGGCGATGATCGTAACAACTGGAAAGGTAGCTATGTGGCTGGCTGCGAGTTGTGCAACTTTTCCTAAGTTTTTAGGCAAGTGACGAAGCCCCAAACTTGGGGCTTACAATTGGGCAATTAGTCGAGCTCCGCTCCGTTCCGAGTTTCTTTCTTCTCCGTAATTTTCTCGCTTTTTGTTTTTATTTGGCGGCGAAAGACTTGGCAAAGCAGAGTTCACAAAAGGCCCGACTAGAGCTAGAGTCGAGCCGCTGCCAGCCGCCGCAGATCATTCACACGGAAAGTACATACTATATATAAAAATAATAATTCTATCGATGTTTATTTGGTGTTCCATCCTCATTAGGCGCTGCCGCTGCCTGCTAAATATAGCGAATCTCAATCGATGGCCGGGGTATTGCCGAATAAGATCGCCCCCTATTAATCATACGTCATTAATTCATTTAAAGCGCAAAGATCTCGGCAAACAAAGTGAGTAAACAAATCGCGGACAATCGGGTGTGAGTGATTCGAGCAATTAAGCTAACCTGCAATGCCAGCGACTGCCAGAAAACCTTGCTTATATGTATGTAGTAACACTGTGAGCGTTAATGTTATGTACGATTTTAATTTAAGTGCAATATTATGGTTTTTGCGAGCTTCAGTGGTTAGCCTCAGCCTCAGCCTCAGCCTGGCTACGTGGATGTGAGGTTGACGGGGGCTGAGTGCAAGGATGCTCTCTTTCGACTATTTACACGGTATTACTTCCAACCAGATTCCACCTTGATTCCGGGTTTTTTTTTTTTTTTTTTTGCAAAGCAAAAACCAAGATGACTCAAGCAAAATATTATTGCCAACCCGCACAGAAAAAATTAAGAAATAAAAACCGATTTTGGGCACACCGCTTAATGGGCTTACACACAGATGACCTTCATTGGTACGCCGCCTATCACCCTCGACAGTGTATCCAGTACCTATCCGATATTCAATACAATAAAGTAAATACTGATTGAAATGTACACGGACATTAAATGTACATTCATACTTTGTGTGTGGTTTCTGTGTTATTAATTGTGTAAACAAACTCGAGGCCAATTAACAAAATCCGAAATCTGGTAATGGGTTGGAGAACCCGCCCCTGGGAGGCTGGGCAAGAAGAGCTCTTGGCAAGGAGACGGATCAGCGCCAGCGGTGACGATGAATAATTGGGCTAACGCCTGCTGGGTCCGAAAAGTTTAAGGTTAGCGCTAGCGCTTGGGCTGCGGAGAAAGGGGGGAAAGCCAATGCGACAGTGTCCGCCGAATTTAATAGAGTGCACGAGTGCAAAATCTCTGTAGTATATACGAAAATAAGACACACACGCACGCACACTCTTGCGCCACCTACGGCGCGCCTGTGTGCGTATGCCTGTGCGTGTGTAGAGGCGACACCTTGAGCATTATGTACATAAATAGGTATATTCGATCTGAAGGCACTGCATATCAGGAGCTGAAGTGGCGCTAGCCCCGTAGTTTCCCACTAATAGTCGCACACTCACCGCCTGGGCATTGGAGTTGGTTTCGTCCATTATTTTGTCAGTCTCCATTTTCATCATTGTGTTGTTGTTTGTGTGTTTGTAGAATTTGTTGGCTGTTGGCTGTGTTTGGATTCGTCTCGCTGCTGCTGAGGCTGCTTTTGTTGCTACTTCGCTTCGCACACGCACACACACTCGCGCACCACGCAGTGGCTATCGCTGGCGCTCTTTTTGGACCACACACGGCAGCACGGTACGCAATTTAATATAATTTATCTCGAAAGAAAATTACAATTCGCTAGTCTCGTTGTCAGTATGCCCGCAGGCGGGATGCGCGAAAACGGCAAAGCCACGAAACGGGAAACTCAACACGCCGAACTCCTCTCACCAGTGGCACAAATCTCTTTGACAAGTCATTCTCTGGGTTGCTCAGCGCTGCTGGACTCGAGGTTGTGCCTGAGCTTTGACCCGCAAACGCACAGACTACTGTTCATGCGGTCGACTTAGATGAGTTTTTCACTAGTTACCGCCGAAATTCGGACAGCTAACACAAAGCTACTGAAGTTTCTGCGGATGATGAAGCACAAGCACTATGCGACGGAACGGTCACACTGCGGGGATTGGTGCTGCAAAATGCCGTTGGATTGGTGACAGTCTTTTCAATTAAAATATAATACGGTCATTTTAACAGAATCTGCTTGAAAACATGATTTTAATTTCTAAATTATTTTAATTCTTGGGATCAAATATGCACTTTACTTGTGTTTACCAACACTAATCACCAGCCTTGGCAACTCTGCCTACCAGCTGGCGCCATTGGATGGTATTTTAATTCGAATGGTAATTTCTGGTATTTTTTTTTCGAACGCAGCCTCACTGCCGATCGCTCTCTCTTTATTTTCTGTTGTCGGTTACTTAATTGATAAACTTTTTGCGGGGGGCGCGCCTCTCCAGATAACCCCCACTTCTAAATTAATAAACATTGCGCAAGTATGTGTCTGCCTGCCGGCATTCAATGCTCAAACGCTCACTTTCATTTGACCGCAGCAGCTGCTGCGTCTCCAGCCTCCCATCAGCATTAACGTATTTTTCCATATTCTCAGTGGTTCAGCTCACCCACCTGCTCAGGATGGCTTCCCGAAGCAAGGATGCGGCCAACTTTTTGACCGACGGCAAGAAAATCGTAGGAGTGGCCCTCAACTACATGTAAATTAGTGGTATTCCTGAATGGGCTCCAAATTGGTAATTCCTCAATCCCGATCATTGTCTGCTGCAGGGACGTCGTGAAGGCCAGGAATGTTCCGGTACCAACTGAGCCGCTGGTATTCCTCAAACCCACTTCCTCGTACATCCAAGAGGGCCAGTCCATAGTTGTGAGTGATTTTATTTAGCCGATAAAGAGGCTGATAAAGTGGAAAGACTAATCTGTGCTCTCCACAAGACCTTTGATCTCAAATTAAAGATTGCTTGCAATTTCTTTTAGCTTCCCAGAGTGTTCACCAAGGTGGCCTATGAAGTGGAGCTGGGCGTGGTGATTGGCAAGCCCTGCAAGAACGTCTCCAAGGCAGACGCCATGAGCTATGTGGCAGGATACTGCCTAGCTCTGGATCTTACTGCTCAGTGTCATTTGGTAAGGAAATAACTATCGCCTACTTTTATGAACTTTCTAAATCACAATTCTATCCACGTTCCAGGGAGCAGCCAGAGCGGCTGGACATCCCTGGACCCTCGGCAAGGGATTCGACACGTCGACGCCCGTCTCCCAGTTCATTCCTGCCGACCAAGTGAATGATCCCCACAATCTGCCCCTGTGGCTGACGGTCAACGGAGAGGTGAAGCAAAAGGGCTGCACCGCCGACCTGATATTCAAGGTGCCCGACATCATTTCCTACGTTTCCAAGTTCATGACCCTGGAACCCAACGATCTGATCCTGACCGGAACGCCTAACGGATCGGATGCGTTCAAAGCAGGCGACGTGATTGAGTGTGGAATGGCGGAGCTAGCCAAGTTCAAGTTCCAAGTGTGCGGAGAATAAATTTGATAATTCAATGTATTTTGCTCATATTTCGATGTGCGACTACTTCCTGCCACTCTTGACATCATCGCAGGCCATCAAGTACTTCTGCATCGCTGCACAGTCGCTGGTGTTCTTCCACTTGGTTGTGGGACAGTTGACGTACACCTGCTCCATAATGCAGGCCAGCAGGGTGGCGGGAAAATAGTCGCACTCGCCCTTTGTGTGCATCCATTGGAATTGCTGAGCTCGCTTCTGAGCTGTTGGGTATATGTATGTATGCATAAACGTATTTTACGGGGATCTGGATACCATTCGAAACGCACCGTAATCCGAGCAGCTGTTCAGGCTCTTTACCATCAATTGGGACATGGTCTGGTCGTTCCTATAGCGCTGCTGGTAACTACTCTGCAGGGCCTCCACGTTGACTGTTCCATTGCTGAGCAAGAATCCATTGGCTTTAAAGGAACACTCTGCAATGCACTTTTGTTGTGGAAATAAATAAATAAGTCCTTGTTATTGCAATCAATCAGAGGCTGTTTTATTTCATGCTTTAATAAATATAATAATATAACATTTGAACTCACAGCATGCAGGGCTACTTTATCAGTTTTGAGATTGCGCGACTGCCCATTATTTGTAGTGGTGGAGTTGTTGGTCAGCAAGGATTTGCGGCACGCCTTTATGGCCTTGTCGTTTTTCTGGACATCGCAGCACGAACTCATCTAGGAAAATTAACAAATTTGGTTAAACATCCTTCTCTTTAATGGCATTACACACAAATTTCGGCTGCTTTGCCTGATCACAACTTGTGTAATTAAAGGATTTAACGCAGGAGCAAAAAGCCAAGAGAATAAATATGACAAAACACTGCATATTTTCCATTCAACGTTTATTAATGATATGAGGTTTACAAAAAATGGTTTGTGCATTTTAAAGCCGCATTTTAATTCCATTTAAAAGTTAATGTAGCATAGAAATCATTAAGCTTTTTATTGCCAAACATTAGTTGACCAAGTAATTATACAGAATGCTGAACTGTAAGCGCATAAAGAAAATAAAAAAGCAGTGCACTGCACTGCAGGGAGTAGAAGTAATCAAATAAATAAGGAAAGACTTCCAATTTTAAAGTTTGCGCTGTATTATTCAGTATTTTACAGTATATTTCCAAAAACGTTTGATTCCAATTGGAAAAGGACTTTGTTAGTTAGAATTTTTGTAGCATTTATTCATAAAGGTTGGGTTAATATAAAACAATAAATAAATCAGAACAAAAAAAAACAAGACAGAGCAAAACAAACGAAAAAGAGAAATTAAAAATATGTTTACCTGGGCCGAATTATTTCTTTAGGTGCATTGCTTGTGGTATTTTTACGATGTCGCGTTATGGCCACACTACCTTCCACGCTCGAAATCAAAACAATCTGGGACGACTGGGATTTTCGATCTTTAACGTAAAAAACCTGCCAGCCCGATATGGATCCAAACTTGTATCAGGGAAATGCCATCTTCCGCAACCAGCCGTCGTATAAAGCCTTCAACAAGTCCTTCGAGCATGTGGATGATGCGCTTTACACTTTCCTAAACGAGGTGGACCCGGAGGTCCTAAGGCTTGAGCTTAAGGAACCGTCTGAGGTCTTCACATCCTTCAAGCTGAACACCGCCCCGAAGGATCCGCGCACCAATGAAGTTCCACGGACCTGCGTCTGTGACCACACCATCAGCCGGACGGAGCCCCGCTATAGTTTTCCCAATCCCCTGGGACACTTTTCGGAGTTAAACCTGCAGCAGCAAGCGGCTTGCATGCGAGTTCTGCTGGCTTGGCAGCAGGGTGCAGCGGTCGCAGAGGATGACTTTGTGATTTGGCATGCCACGGAGAAGAAGCGGTGCAATGAGCAGCAAAGAGTACAGAAGTACATCCACGATTACGAGCAAAGTCAGAGGGAAGTCCTCTATATACCCATGAAGCGCCTGGTTACTATCTATAGGCAGTTATACGAGCTCAGCCTGAAGAAGCTGATGAAGAAGTACGCCAACGAGTCGTACGTGACATTCTCCGGGCTGCCTCAGCTCTCTCAGTGCAAGAGTCTAAATTCCCAGACAGTCAGCATAGAGGAGGTGGAGTTGGAGAGAGTTGTAGGCCGCACCAGGATCTGGCCAGGAAAGGAGCTTCGCAGTGACTCGGTCATGCGGAATCTTAATGTGCGCTTGGATCGATACTCTGGCAAGGAACCCAAAGATTCTCCTACTCTTTTACGGGACGAAGAGAAGAATCAGGAGGCGCTAGGTGGCAATGTAGTGGTCTTGCCCTTGGACTCACTGCTGATGCTCCTAACCTCAGGGTCATATGTCGATATGTCTGCCGAGATGTTCGTGAGCATAGGGGAATCTACCGGTGCGGGACACAAATACATCGAGTTTTACACTCCGTTTCCTGCGCGGAACTGCGGTTGGCATACAAACAGTCTGGTCCTGAAGAAGGCCTATGAAGCCTACATATCACAGCCTGGACAAGCCAGGTGGTTGAACTCTGACCCGAACGGAGCTACAAGAGAAATTACAGACCCCGTTGACATTGATATGACAGCTTCCTCGATCAATCTCCAAACGGACTTTAAGCCTCTCTTAGTAGGTGAATTATCATCAGACATCTTGGATACCTCCGCAAACGCTGCACTGGTTAGTTGGTGCCTGAGGTGCAAGGGAAGCAATGGTGAGGACATTGGGGAATTCCAAGTATTTAGCACCCTTACAATCGCAGCGATGATAGACGACCATGGGAAGCAGCAACCTCTCGGTTGCCACCTAATCAAGATGGAGAACAAACCCGACTGCGGCTGCGAAATCATGTCTAAGTACGAGCTGATATCGGCTTGGCTGCAGCTGAAGCTTCTGCACGCCGAAGTGGGGCACTGCACCCGCATTTCGCTGCGAGACTTTGAGCCCATGCTGGAGGAGAAGCTCACCCTGATCTCGCTGGAGCAGCAGCTGCACGACTATTACAATACAAGCATGCCACAGTTACTGTCCAATCTCTACGAGTTTCTCCAGCTACTGTGCTCGGTGCCTGCCGGTACTTTCCTCCTGCGACATTCTCCCAAATACAAGGATAAGTTCTTGCTATGTAAAGCCACCAAAGAGGCGACAGCTCAGAGCTTCCTGCTGCACCAACTGTTAACGGAGTCGCCACCCAGCGATCTGAACTTCCTTACCCAGGGCAGCTACCTCCCGATTTCGCCCACCCTATGCGGACGTCTGCACGAAGAACTCCATTTGCTGCCCTGCGCTTTTCCACCGAAGGCGGATGGCAGGGCTGTGAAGCGGCGAGGGACGGCGGTCCTACCCAGGACAGAACCCACAAAACGGGTCCTACCCAGGCGACAGCCAGTCCATATGGGAAAAACATCTGCTCAACGTGAAAATATCCGTCACACTTGTAAGACGGCGCAAAAAAGAAGGGCCAGAGCTCGCAAAATAGCGGCTGCCAAAGAGGAGAAGGCGCAATTGGACAAGTTTATGAGCTTGTGATGTTGAAGTTAAAACTACTATTGTTTTAAATAAAAAATAATTAAAAAATTTAATTGTTTTGATTACAACTTCAAGGCTGCAAAGTTTGTGTCGGCTTCCGTGATTAGCTCATCCTCGTTCACCTTCAAGGGAGCAGCAGATCTTGTCCAGAAGGATTCGTCGTCGCTGGCTGGCAGAGAGTCGCGCGGGAAAGTATGCAACGACAAGTCATTGAACACATTATGGTGCTCGTAATCGTCTTCCAGCGGCGTTTCTGTGCAATATTCGACAATTCGCGTAATGTGGTCCTCCTGATTCCTCCGCGCCATCGTCAGCATCTCGAAGCTGTTCGAGATGAGGAGAACGTTTGGCAACTGGTCCCGCTGCCAGTTGGACCACAAGATGTTGTGCATCAGCGCGTAGGGGCAGTGTGGCAGATAGTAGAGCGTGGGCACCGTCGCCTCATCTCTTCCCGCGCAGTCTTCGCTCATCACGCAGCCGTCAAACAAGCGAATCAGCTCCTTCTCGGTGTCTCTAAAGACGGGATCGAAGTAAAGGGCTTCGAGGATCTTGTAGTGCCGCTGCAGACTGACCACAAAGGCCGCCTGATGGAGCGCCTGGTGAGTGCGGGAAAAGGGTCCCAGACCCAGACACACAATTCTCTTCAGCGGCCTTTTCAGCGCTTCTACCTGCTGCTGCAGCGCTTCCATTGCAACCAGGAAGTAGTCGCTTTGACACATCTCCGTGCACAAGCGCTCCAGGCGCCTGGAATTGGATTATTCAATTAGAAACGGTGTCTGTGGAGGTCAGAACAACATACGGTTGGAATTTTTCAACATTTACGTCCGGACAATCGTTCAGATAGTCACTCTCGGATTTGTGACGGTCCCGCCGCCTAAGACATTTCCTTGCCATCCATTTTTTGCGAGTCACCACTTGGAAATCTCCGCCAGAATTCGACATGGCAAAATGTAAATAAACACTTGTGATCCTGCTTCTTCTTTTCACCTCGCACAATGTGACCGTTTGGTGTGTGGTTGAATGAAATCAGCTGTTTCTTCGGTCAATATTTCCACCATACTCCACACCCCTTATTGAGTCTGTCTGATGGTTTTCCGGCACTTTCTGTGCAAAATCTACTTTTCTTGCAAGCACCAGAAGCTTTGTACCGAGCTCCATGGCTTTCAGCCGTGCCACAGTTGTGTAGTCTGAAAACTCAAATGTTATTTAAATGTTTATTCATTCATTTAAAGTGACCAGATGCCGTTAAAGGGGAAATCCTGCAAATTGCCGGGCACATTGTCGTCTGTTTTCATTTATTATCGTTATTATTGTGAAAGATGAACGACCCAAACAAAGCAATCAGCGTGAATCTCTCTTCCCTGCTCAGCTTAAAAGCAGAGTTGTTACGGAAGCAGCATGAGGTCAGGCTAGCGAAGGCCAGCAAACCATCCGCCACAGAGTTCCGGCCCAACAGGGAGAGCAGAGACAAGGAAAAGTCCAAGGATCACGGCTACAAGGCGGTCGGAAAAAGTGGAGATGATGCCAAGGTGTACGAGGCAGAGGACCATGCCCAGTTGGACAAGTCCCGCCGGGTGCTGGAGGCCAAGAGCAAGTTCTACGACCGGATGAGCCGCAGCGGTGGCAGCCTGAACTCTGATGACAACTGCCTGGTGATGTTCAATCGCAAAAAGCAGGAGGAGTGCCACCAGCTGCCGCAGAAGAGTGAGACCCGCCAACGACAGAGCAGCAGTAGTAGCTCCAGCGGGGACGAGGACGAGGGCCATGAAGACGACGAAGTGGAGTACGTGGATTGCCTGGGGCGCACTAGAAAGTGCCTGAGAAAGGAACTATCGGCGGCCAAGAGGCGCGACAGGCAGCTGGCCGAGAGCATGCCCGAGCGGCTGGATCAAACGAAGGCCAATTGGATGATAGATACCAAAGGCAGCCACGTCCAGAACAGCGAAGACGAAAATGACGGCGATGGCGAGCCTAGTTACGGACCACCACCTCCGGAGAGCGTCTTCAGTGATGCCCTGTCCACAATGACCAAGCACGACGAGCAGCGCCTAAACTGGGAGCGAAAGGAGCAGGAGAACTTCGACAAGCCTGACGTGCATTACCAGGACGTCTTCTTCGACGAAGCGCGCACCCATGGCGTTGGCTACTACGCCTTCTCCACCGACGAGGCAGAGCGCAAACAACAGCAGATTGCCCTGGAGGAAGCCCGCAGAGCCACGACCGCGGAACAGAGTCGACGGGAAGAGATGCTCTCTAAGCGGAACCTGCTCGTAGCCGATCGCGTGCTCGCCGCCAAGAACAGGATACGGGCACGCAACGGCTTGCCGCCCATCAGTAAGGAGGAGTACGAGCGCGAGCAGCAGCAAAAGAAGGACGAAGAAACGGCTAAAGCCGAGGCGCGGGCGCAGGAGGAGCAGAAGAAGAGGGAAGTAATTGAAAGAAAGAAGGCGGACGAGGAGGCCGAATTAGAAGAAGCAAGAAAGGAGCATGTAAGGGACTGGGACCGGGATAAGCCCGGCGTTCCAGCCAAGCGGCGGGGATCAGAATCACCCGAGGAGGAGGAGTGGAAGTACAAGGCCGAGCGGCTACCCATGTCACAGGAAGAGTGGAACGAGAAGCAGCGTGCCCAGCGGCAATCAGAGTTTGCGCCAATGCCAGAGCCCCCAACTCATCCAAAACGCAGCAATTTCAACAGCATGCCACCACCTCCGACGTGGGAAGGCGGGTCAGCGGAGCAAGAGTTTTGCAATTTTCATACCACCAAGCGGGAACGCACATTCCAGCGACGCAACTACACCTCCGGCAACGAGGACAGTTACGATGAAGAACCTGGGTCCTCCGCTCGAGGCCTGGGCGCCGCCATTCCACCGCCACCTGGACTGGATGACACTGCTGCTCCGACTACAGCGAAGCGTGCCAAGTCCCAGGCTGACCTGGAGCGCTCTATCGAGGCGGGTTTGAGGTTTCTGCGCGATAACAGTGACAAGGGTGTGCTGGGAAACAAGGCCACCTGGACAGCCAAGGCGGATTATTAGGACTGTTAGAGTTTAAAGTTAGGTGCTTTGTATAAGCAATATAGTTTATTATAATCATTACGTGAAAATAAATTTTTTCTATGCGGTTTGGAATTCCTTGAGCGTAAAAAAAAAACAAACAAATTATTTGTTCGTTGTTAGTGTTACGAATTTCCCAACCCTCTTATAGTTCTGCCAAAGACATTATAATTTATAAGATGAGTAACGCGTTCTCTTTGCTCTTAAAAAATAGAATGCTCTTGCTTGTATTAGCAATTGTATGGCGTTACTTATCTTAGTATGCGTACAAGAGAGCGGCTGGTTAAAGAGCGCTCTCTTACTGGTTTTTAAATTAAATTTAAGAGAGAGCCTGAAGCCACTTCAAAAGCCACACAATCATATGACGTTACACATCTTCTTAATTCTAATGGCTTTTGGTTTTGCATAGTTGAATTGAAATCAAAAGAAACAACAAGAAAATGTGCCAGTACCCCTATTCAGTTCCGTTCAACATTTATTGAAACAGAATTGATGACATTTCTATTTTTTAAATTGTATAAACTATGTTGCTTTCAAGTCCATGAAATTGCTTATTTTGCAAGGGCCAAAATGTTAATTTTGTGAATTTCCTTATTCACAAAATATCGTGGGATTTCATGGGATCCCCAAAAGCTAGCTTTTATAATTTCTAAACAATTCAAAAACGCGAATTATAGTGTACTTTTGGCCGCAATTCGTTTGATGGAAAATTTGGGAAAATAATCATAGTTTAGTGTTTACCATTGCAATAGAAACCTAACACAACATAAAGTTTGGCGGTGGAACCCTTAACGTACCAAGTCTTGCTAATCTAAGGTTAATATTTACTAGCTTGCATAAGAACTAAGGATTAAGTGAGTATCATCAGCTATCTGAGCTCGCTATGCTATTGTTAATTGGTGTTTTGGCAGACAGCTCGCGTTCCCTCGGCCTCGGGTTGCATTGTAGATTAGAGCATGTCCCGATCGACCATATCGATCACTATCTCGGACATCTTTTGGCGGCACAGGTCGTTGGGTGGAAAGTTGAGCGTGGGCGCACCTACGTCCTCCTCGGGATCGTCCCCACTGCGTTTCAAATACATATCCGGGGCATCCTCGGAGGAGCAGGTGCTTATTGGTATGATGTCCATGGCCAGGCCAAGAGCGAAACGGCCGTAGGTCTTCAGCTCCTCGGCAAACCTAGACAGTGGGGAAAAAAGAGCATTACTATGATGATTTTCTTTGAACAGATTGCCATACAGATCCTGCAACTTTTCCAGTGTGTCACAGTGGTCCGGCAGAGCTGTGCACAGGATTTGGAGCCACCGGAAAAGCTCCTCCGTATATGTGTTGAGCAGCGTCTGAAGCTCGGCATCCCGCATCTCCTTCGTGGTGCAGCAGTAGAGCAGGTTGGCAATGTCCAGGGCAATGGAGCTGTAGCGTATCAGCTGGAAGTCGAGCAGGGCCACCTCCAGCACCCGTTGCGGATCCTCCGGATCGTAATGGTACAGAAAGTTATTTACCCAACAGTCGCCATGGCAGATGGCCGCCAGCGGTGACTCGGCGCTGGCCAGCTGCACCATGCGACCAAAGAATGAGGAGCTCTCGGCAAAATCGTTGATGGCCAGAACGTACTTTGAGTCGGCAGGCAGGACCTCAGACACCATTTTGATGGCGTTCTTCGTGAGCCTCTCGTAGTAGTTTCGATACCAGCTTGTGTTGGCCGTACAGAAGATGCCCTCGCTGATCAGGCTGCACAGCTTGCTAAACTCCAGCGGATGCTCGAACTTGTACGCCAAACTGAGGGCGTGCAGCTGCGCCACCTGGAGCAGGACGGACTGCGTCTCCTCCATACTGAGACCTTTATGGCGGTCGGACATCTGAAAGCCTCGTTCTCGTAGATCCTCTGTACGGAAAGGAAGCAGTGGGTTAATTTCAGTTTCTGCTATTTTCAAGTCCTTGGTTACCCATTATGAGCAGGTCGTGCCTGGCCGTGTAGCACTTGGGAATGGCGTTGAACACTGGCGTGTCCCGGCCTGTTTTGCTGGCCTGGAACTTGAGCAGCTCGGGCATGATGGTGGTGTAAAATTCCACCTCGTTGCTGGAAACGAAAGGGATAGGATAAGAACAACAAATTCCAAGGGATTAAGGACTCTCACCGGAAGAGCTTGTCGCTCTTGTAGGCCTCTCGCTGCACTACACTCTCCGGCATCACCTTGCAGATGACTTTCTGCTCCCACTTGTGATGGCACCCATCCAGACCCTGCCGCTTGCCACTAAGATTGATGCGGTATAAGGCGGCCGTGTAGTTGTCGCCCCGGTCGGAGCCCTGGGCCAGCTGCAAAAGGGGACACGTGTCCGTTTCGGTGATTTCATAACCAAATTAGAGCAGGGTTGGGGAAGGTGGGATTTATTACCTCAAAGGCATCAATTTGGACGTCTGGTTCCGCATGCTTGAAAATGTCCTGGAACATTTCCAGCGACAAGATTTGTTTGCCCTCCACAGCGGCTGCCCCATTGTTTGCCGCTCCCATTCCGGTTGTTGTTGGTGTGGCCGCCTCCGTAATTCCCATCTCTGTGGCTCTTACTGCTCTACAACTTGCGCTTTCTGGCGTCCTCTACGCTTATTGGAACCTGGGGAAACCTCGTGGGCGGTTCCTTTTAATTTTTCTGTTAACTTTTCGTTGAGCACGTTGCACTTTTCCGTTTTCGGTGTTCGCTTTCAACGTTTATTCATCGATTTTGCGCTAGCATGTGTTTTTTTTTTGCCCCGCTTCGTGCTTCTTCTTCTCTTTCAGTATTCTTTCGTCCTTTCGTGCTTTCGTCATCGTCTTACGTATTTTCAACCCTGTGCTTACATTACGCAACAATTTCAAACGGTACGCGGGAAACCGTTAGCCTATGTTACGTTAGCGGTGATTTCCGCCAAGCAATGAAACATGTTCATGTACATGAATGTTTATTTATTAATTTTTTCAAAAAAAAGTGCAAAGTGTATAAGAATCAAAGCTACTTTTCTAGGGAATTGCCATATATTTCATTGTCTGTCAACCCCCATGATTTTCTATTGGAATAAGATGCTTGGTAGGAATTTAATGGTGTCGGTCGTCGGGAGTAGGAATTTCGGCCTTTATCGAGGGTAATATGGATCGTTTTTAGTAAAAGACCATATTGGAAAATAATTGTCCAGCGAAGGTTGTGAAGGATTGCCTGATGTATTATGATCCCCTGCAATTATTTTCACTACCACAAAGTTCGGAATTATAGAAAACGTTTGGAAAATTTTGGAGCAGAAAGGTCAAAAACGTCCAATAAGAAGTGATCCTTTGCTTAAAGAGAATCTCCAAGAGTCGTTGGATAAAAATAACGAGCAAGGAGCTGGATAATTTGGAGGCTTCTATGGTCAGACTTCCTTATTAGGTTTCTTTTTATATAACTTTAAAAGTTGATGTTGAATACAAAAATTGGGTTTTTGTATAGTAATATCATTTAAAACAAGACTGCATCATTACTTTTTCTGTAAAGGCAACAAAATAAAAATTAAACCTCGCACACGCACATACGGATTAAAACTAATAAAAACTGTAGAAAGTACGATTTTTTTTCTGATGAAGGGCTTAACAAATAGTTTCTTCTGGATTTTGGGACATTTTTAATTTTTAAGATAATTGCCATATTCAAGTAATTCGCACGGGACAAAAAACGGGAGTGGTGTTTGAGGTCGACCAATTCAATTGCAAATTTATGCGTATCCCAGCGGCAATATTTTAATGTAACTCATTTGTTTTGTTTCGTGCACTGATGCCTCTTGAAGTGGTTGAGTTTTTCATAAATGACTTGCCTTTTTAAATATTTAATTTGAATTAAATTTGAACGAGATATTTAGTTCGGGAAATAAGAGGAAGATACAATGTAAATCAAATTATACCGTTATTGGTAATAGCGTATTCTTATTTTCTTTTATTTTCGAGGAAAGCATGGAAAGCAAAAGTCAAAGCATAGTACCTCTGGTTTAGAAGCATAGTACCTGCATAGAAACTTAGTACCTCTGGTTTAGAAGTTATCAAAACAAAACATGCCTTTTTAATAATCTATGTATGCATGTATGTTTTTCATCAAATAAATGAAAAAGAGAGTTTGCGGTCATTCGAATATTTGGATATCTGTTTTAGAACATATTGCTATATTTTGTCACAGTTAATCTTACTGTAACTACATATTTACAATTTAAAGAACCTTTACATTTTTGCCCGGGTTGAACCTTTCTGTGGAAATTCCGATATATTAATAATTATTTAATAAAAAATAAATAATATAACTTATCTTGATAGGGTGGCCCTATGATGACTCGTTCCCCATATTCTTAGCCAAAAGAATTTCTTAAAATTTAGAAAATGGACTATGAGTACTTCAAACAGTGGCTTCTTATGGAGTTATGTCCTTCTCTTTGATATATTCATATTATATTGATAGTAAGGTTAAGGATATGTGACATTCATAGTTACCTGTATTATGAACATTAAATAATTCAAAAAGTCGTTAGAGTGGAAGACGTAATTTAAAGATGTTTATTTCATTATTGTTACAGTTATTTTGATTAATTTGTTTATGCTTGGCTTGTATAGTTGCGCTCTTACAAAGTACTCTAAAAAAATGAACATTTGATGCTATTATGTAGTACTGAATGCTGAAAATGCAATGCATTATGGATCTCGGGAAGTGCCGCTGCTGCTGTTAACACTCCTTGTTGTTGGGCGTTTCGAACGCCATCACTTTGCGAGTAAATAAAGATTCCAGAATTTGGCATCAAAGTCCATGCAGTCACGCCCAGAGTCTAAAATACATATGTAAATCTTTATTTAGGCTTAATTTAAAACGCAAAAGCCACCCTTACACTCCTGAGTCAGACAGAACGTGAAAATCAGAATGTACTTCTTCGGGCCAACGTTGTTGATTTTTGTAAAGGCTTCTCTTAAGTTATGGCACGGTCTAATAAAATTAATCATCAATCAATTATGAACTGCGTTACCAAGGTGCAAACTCACCTGTCCAATCAGATCAATCACCTCACTGCTGCTGCTCCTGCTGATTCGTCACCAGTCCCATGTCCTCCTGCAGCTTCAAAGCCAGCGGTAGTGGCCTCTGCGGCCAGGTGCGCCTCTGAAGGAGCGTCTCCCCGATGGCCAGCTGACGCTGCAGCGCCGCAATGGTGGGGTAAATGTGTTGCTCCACAAACTCTGTCACCGTGTACTCGTCATACACCTCCCACAGCAGCTGCTGTGCCTCTCGAGCCATGGCCCGCAGTTCCTCGATCAGCACCGGCGTCCGGACGGTCAACTCTCGCACTCTCAGCGGCGAACTGAAGTTGTGCCGGACGTTGTAGTCCGAGAGCCAGGCGCTTTGGTCGCGCGTCTTTTCCAAATAGATCCTGATTTCGGCCAGCTTATCGAACAGGCGCAGGGCGTACTTGAAGACCATGTGGCCCGGATAACTGCACACGGCAAACAACTGGCTGTGGTGGGCATTGGGATGCAGTTCTAGCCAGGGGCGACCTGACCGCCGGCTGTCTGGCTGAAAGATGCACTGCAGCACTCTCAGCAACTCGTTGTCGCGCGGGTTCGTGCTGAAGTAGCCCTTGGCGACAGTGGACAGCGACGTCATCAGGCTGGGAATGCCCACGGGCAGAAGTTCGCAGAGAACAGCGAAGTGATCGTATCGCTGCCATCCTGTCAGGGCTAGGCCTCTCAGCCCCTTGGCAAACCGTCCGCCCTCCTTGGCAATAACCGCCAGCCAGCGGATGTTGTTCTCCAGATGATGCTGCAGCGGCGGCACTAACAAGCTCTCCCCAAAGGCTCCCTTGAAGGCCGAGGCAGCCCAGGCGCTAGGGAAGACCTTGGCGTAGGTATCCCACAGTTGCGGCTGGATGAAGTGGTAGATGTCACTGGCATACACCCATACCATGGGCTCCACGTAGCTTCCCACCTGCGAATGCTGCAGTTCGCTGAGGGACATCGAGCGCAGCTGATCATCCCAGATGACCACTCCCAGCTGAGGCCACTGGCGGCGGATAAAGTGCGCCAGGCTCACCACGTGCGAGAGAAAGAGCTCGCTGCGCAGTCGTTGGCGACAGACGGAGCACTCGCCCATACGCTGTACCTCGTCGCAACCGATGTGGATGTGGGTGAAACGGATGGGCGCTGAAGGCGCGGCGGACGTTTGAGTCGCATGTCCCAGACACTGAAGGTGCAGCTCGATCACCTGGGTGAGCATCTGCTCCAGCAGCGCCATGCTCTGCGGCTGGCTGGGGCAAATCGACTGCGGGCTCTCGGTCAGCTCGCGCAGTTGCTCGAAGCCAGACAGCTTAAGCACGAACTCCATGTGGCCAAAGGTCTGGACGAGAGGCATTACACTCAAGCCGTGCAGAGCAGCGCACTCCAGGAAGTCCTAAAAGAGATCATAGTCTTAATTATCGTTTACAATAATGGGATCCATACTCAGAAAGTAAATATTTTACTTAATATATAAAATACAAATAAAAATTGTTATATTTACTTTCTATAATATTTCTATAGATTGATTTTTAAATTATGTCAACTCAATGTGCTGCATCCACTAACCCTCAGTTCTTCTTCCTTGTAAGCGTTATGCGCAGCCAGAGGCTGGAGTGCTCCGCTATAGGGAAACATGTCCTCGTACTCGATGAGCAGACCCGTGGCTCCCAGGGCCCGCAGCATGGGCAGGAGCTGCTTGAGAAAACTAATCTTAGGCGGGGCTCCCTTGAGATCTATATGGACGAGGCGCTCGGCAGGAGCACGCGGACCGTCTGGCCCGATTCCAGCCACTACCGGAACTCCCATGCGCTGCAACTCGTGCTCATACTGTGTTTGTCGCTCTGCCGAGCTAAGCATTCGCTCATCCTCGGCATTATTCAGCTCCTCCATCCCGGCGTTCCGCTGGCGCTGCTGCTGCTCGAGTATCTTGAGGCGTTCCTGCTCGAATAAATAGCTCTCTGACATTGGCAGGGGAGCCTTCTTGGCCTGCGTGGGTCGCAGAAATCGCACGTTCCCCAAGCGTTGGACGGGCGACGGTGCTTTCTCGACGGCGTTATCCCTGAGCCGTTCGGCACGGAGTACTCTATTGGCCTGTGCAATCAGCTTCTGGATGATGTGCACCTGCTGGTAGCCAGTGGCCTGTTGCTGCTGCTGCTGCAGTCGCTCAGTGCTGGATAAAGCACCAGGTGGCTGGGGTGCTGTTGTATCGATTAATATAGCCCATGTCCAAAGGCCGAGAAGTACCAGGCCAGACACAACCAGCAGGAAGGAGAGTTTGCGGCGCCAAATAAATATCCACAAGTTTGAGTGCATCTGCAAAAGGAAAGAGTGACATAAAAGACATACTTATTGGTAAGCTGTGCAAGGTCGATGTATTATACATATATACATATATTTATTTATATATATTTCTTTTTATAATTATATATTTATATTTTTAATATATTTTTCCCTTCGTTTTTCCAGTTAATAAAGTACATCCGGCCGAGTTATATAATTTTTTTGCTGCTTGGCGATTTCTTTTCAGTGTAAGGATGCGGAAAGTAAGCCACTGCAGTGTGCTGCAGATGAAAAACTTGCTTCACTTTTCATAAATATTTGAAGATCCAACAAGTAGCCCCCGGAGTTATGCTATATAAGTCCACACAACCCACAAACGCCGCTGCCGCCAGCCGCACGTTACTCATACGCCACCGTTTCGAGCAGAGCTGCTCATTGAGGTTGAGTTAAGGGGCTGATGCTTCTATTGTTGTTCTTGCAGCTATTGCGGTCTTGGGTCCTGCCTTTGTGCTTGCCCAACTCCTGCGGCCGAGCACCATGGCTTCGGGTTAAAGGAAACGATTGCCACAGTGGGCCAGTTAGAAACCAAATCGAATTTGTGTAAATAAGAAGTCGATGTAGCCTTTGTGGCTTCTATTCGTATAATCAAAAAATGATGCGAACATAAGATTATTTTAAAGTTGTAAAATAATAATAATTATTAATAAGGATCGCTTATTCTTTATTCCAATTTAACTTACTTATAACTGAAAGCTACATGCTTCTACCTTGACAGTCTCGGTAAGTACACCCCTTATGCTGTTCTAGGCCATAGTCAAACCTGAATAGGTGGAATGGCTTGCCTGATAGTTTGCTCGCATTTGGTTAAATAGGCACAACTGACAGCTTATTTAAATGAGACTCCGTCAGAGTCATAAAAGCAGCTCGGCTCAGCCAAACATTCCGCATAGGTGCTGCACTCGTAGGTACTACAAATAGGCAGATAAGAGTCCTGCATGGCTTTGGGGGTGGAGGGCGGCGAATGGAGATGAGGATGTGGCATTATTCAGGACCAACTGCGGCAAGTGAAACACCAACAAAACTGGCACGGTTCGACAGGCGATAAATGCAAGTGTTCAAGTGGAAATGTGCAGCTGTCTGACTGGCGGAAATTGAATTGAGTTTTCACTTGCTTTAGAGTGGGTTTTTCAGCGGGTGCCGGAATGTTGAGGCATCGCTTAGCTCACTCTTCCAACTTGAGGAGTTTAAGGACGGGAGAGACTAATGCGGAAAAGTTTCAGGTCCTTGTGGACACTTGTTAGTCGCTTGAGTGGAGTGCTTGAGGTTTATCATCATCGCTGGAGTCAATTGATTCAATTGCTAATTTTAATGAGCCACTGGCCACAATTACAAATTGGCAATGCAAATATTTACATTGAAAAAAGCTATGGTGGAATATTGTGGGGTTGAACATTAATTAGAGAACTATTGAATGTGCAGTTTGATTGCATTTTGCACAACATGCTACAACAGCATAACCAATCGTTTTTCAAACAAAAGAGCATGCAATGCTTGGAGTCCCCCAACTAACAATAATTGTAATTATACATTACAACGCTGTATGTATGAGCTTTAATTAAAAATGTAATAAATAGAAGCTGGCATGTATATTTGGGCAGATGAGCGGCATATGACCTATAGTTCTTCTTTCTGAATTTACACTTGCAATAAATGCATCAACCTTAGATTTATATATAAATTTATAAATGAACCCTAACATAGTGACTACTATTAACACAGCATTCGCTTTTTTGTAGCTCTAAAGTTTATCTTTAACATAATTGTCCTGTTTTATATCCTATATTTTTCTACTGCAAATCACAAACCGCATCGATTTACTCGTCATCAATTTTGCATTTGGTAAATAGCCAATGGAAATCCGATTGCTGACCCATTTGGCCTAATCCACATTTGCATTACTTCGCCAACCCAACCAACCTCGCTCCCTCGAGGACTCTCCAAAGTGTGTTGTTGCCAAAATTGTACACTCGAAACATATCCCCGGGGGAAAACGTGTATGGGCCTTTCTTTTCTATCTCCCGATTCTATATATTTTCCCCGCCGACGCCGCCGCAAAGCCACAACAACAGTTTTTGAACGGGTGCTTTCGTTTTCCGACGCTTTGTTGGCAAAAGCTTTTAAGGATGCAAAAATAGAGAAGCCAACTAAGCAAACGGAACGCACAGAGGCCGAAGGGGTACTTGATGTGTGTGTGTGTGGAGTGACATGAGCCAGAAACCGAGGGAGGTTCTACCTGCAGCACTTGCATGTCCTTTGATGTCGGGTTTCACACTTGGAGATGTTAGAATATCTCGGAATTTCCAATACGAAAATATATCTATCTAGTTAAAACCAAATTAATAAGCTGGAAATAATAAATAACCAAACTTAGATTGAATGAACATTTATATATATACGAAAGTTAATATGTATTCGCTTTGTACTATTTCATATACGTAGCGACTTAAAAGTAGGAAACGAAATAAGATTTCCGGGTATTTTTGTGTTCTTGCCCTGTCCTGTCGGTGCCCAAATATTCATTCAAAAGTTTCAAAATATGTAAAGTATAAGCTTTGAAAGTATTTGAAACCATCCATACACATCTTCGAAACATATATTTTTTCTACGTGCACACGTTTGATGTTCGTTTACTTTCCCTTGCCTCTGAGAAGGCACTGTTCAGGACAGGACAATGGATCTTTGCTAATTGCATCAGGCTGGCTCGTCAGTCAGAGCCGAACACCGTTTGGGTCGACTGACTTCTAAATTAAATTTAATTGCACCGCAAGACCGACAGGCCAATTTGCAGTCACAATTCACAGTGGTCATGGCCAGGCGTTTGTTCATTGCGTTCCCGCCCTGACTATGGCCTCCACTTCCCGCCCGGACCCCTCTCCAGTGCCCATCGTGCCAGAAATGGCCGAGTGCGCCCCGCTGTGAAGTGTCCGCCCACCGCACAATTTGGCTGTTTGCCACAGAACTAAAAACGAAACTGAAATATATTTCAATGCAGAAAACAAGTGCACCCAAAAAAGGCAACATGAATGATCCTTAAAGCGGCTGTTTCGATGGACTTTACTCCATGTACTCGCGTGCTGTTTTCGATATATGTATTTATTAAGTGGGAATTATATTTTGACCATTAGTATCCTTTGATTACCGGAAAATATATTCTATATGTATAAATATTTATTTTGAGAAGTATATTTCTAATATTTTCATACATTTCCCAAGCAAATAATTAAATTCTTAAAGTTCTCTCTTGCACTTAAGTCTCAATCAACTAATTTTTGAATTTCTTTAAATTCCTTAAATGACAAAGACGAGTACAAATACACATTGGTTTCCTGAATTGCTGACTCGTTAAGCGTGTAAGTATCGTTACTCTGGGTTGTCGGCGTTTTTGCCTCAGACCACTCCATGGTGCTGTGTCCTGTGCTCCTGCCCCTCCTCCGGCTGCCCCATTCAGTGGCTCTTGCATCGCTTATATTGCATTCCCTGCATTGCATTTTGAGCAGCAGAAAATTTGCTTGCAACGGCAACAGCAGGAAGGGGGAAAAGCCGGGAGGAAGCCATGGGAAAGCTGCCTTAACTCGGCTTTAAGGATAAAGCTGCCGCCCGGTCAGGCCATAGTTCACTTCAGGGACCACCTAGCGGAAAGGTTCACAGAGAGAAAAAGTGGGTTAAGCCAAGCTTGAACCCCTTGTGGAATATTTGGCTTTAAATTGTGATTTAATTTCAGTTTAAAAAAGTTGTATCAAGTTAGTGCTTGGAAATCTACTTCTACATATTTATGTATTATTTCCAGTCTCTCCTTATATATTACATATTATCTATAAATGACAACAATAGGAAGTGTACCAGTCATAAAAAATTAAATATCCCTCTTTCTCTTAGTGCAATACGTAAGTATTAAGAAGAGTTTGAAGCCGAGGCTTATTCATGGGCATGCAGAATTATGTGCTAGTTTTTCTTCTTTCCCTGCGGTACCTTATAGCTCCGAGAGCCATAATCGACAATTAGGCAATTTAACGCCTTATTAACGTCCATTAGCAGGCGGCCGGCCACTAATGGACGGCGAGCTGAGGGCTGCGGATATCCATCTCTGCGCCCCCTTATGGCTGCTTTCTCGGGGTGGCCTCAAGATGCCTCGATGGCCATTCAAATAAATTTCACCAGTTTGCCAGAGTGCAGCACTTGCTCCGAAGAGCTGAAGGTTGCGGAAGTGGACGGGCGAGGGTTGGATTCGAGTTATGCATCCGGATGCGGTCATAAAGCGTCGGGTTAGACCTTTTAAATTTGCTAGAAAGGATTGCCAGGGATTTTTCAGTTGGAACGAACGACCAGGTAAGAGGCTTGAAATAAGCTTTCTACAAAATATATAAAGATCGTTCTTTATGGAGTGCTCTATTTTGTGCATTTATTTCCCAGTTCAATGGCGAGGAGAGCTTTGAAATAAAGCGCATTATTGTACAATTATTTGTGTACAGGAACCCTAATGTTATATATATTGTTGGCAAAAAAAAGTTGGCAATTAAATGCATGTACAAATTCCCACCTACCGAGCCTCGTCTCCTCCTCGACAAAAATAATAATTGGCAAAGAAAACAGACTGTAAATGGGAATTGGAACAAACAGAAAAGTAATGGAACTTGTCGCCAGCTAAAATGAAATGAAAAAACTCTGATGAACTATAGTTCCACATTTCCCCTCAGCAATTTCCGTCCCCCGCCGAACTAACAAACTTGCCACGTTGGGAAGCAAAACTTTGTAGAGCTTTAAAAATTGTCTGCATTCCGTTTTTTACTTCGGCGCTGTCCATACTTAATAAAAACGTTGTTACCTACTTCATAAGTAGATTATAACTGCAAAAGTTTAGAGCGGAAAAAGAGCAGACAGAAGGTCGGGGGAAACTGTGGGGAGAATTAGAACAGCGCGTCGTCATCGTCCTCGTCGTCGTCCATAACTATGCAACACTCGGTTTGTCCGCTCGA